CTCACCATGTCTGTATTTATCTGGGAGATTATTTCTGCTTTGAATTTTTCTAGAGCCTCATTCATCTGTTTTGTTACTTCCTGTGCTATCAGTTTAGGGTGTCCAGGTGGTTGATTATCAGACTTTTGCACCTCATTTCCCCCCAGAAATTGCCTTTTGTGGGGTGGAAGTCTGGGTTTGTCAGTTGCTTAAATGCCTTCTCATTTTTGTTTTTGGTACTGTCCCTGGTTTAGTTCCTGGGTTGATATTATGAAGTTGTTTATTGTTAAGTATCTTTGTTGATCTATTTAAAACTCTTATGGAATGATTGCTTCTCAGAGGTGTCTTCCAGATATAGCCGGTCTTTAGGTTTCGAATCTCTAATGACTCTGAGGCGATCTCATTTTCATTATACCAGGAAGGAAAACTGTTTAGATCAATCACAACACCTTAGCCCAATTCATACAATCAGCAACACCATAGCATCAAATACCTCTTAAAGAATGACAATTTGTGGTAGTTATTAATCTATCATTTCTAAAAAATAAAGGGCCTCCTTCAAGGTGTGTCACTGCTGTCACAATAGACAACGTGGGCAGCAGTGTGCAGTTATAAGTCAATGAGTCTCAGTAAGCTAGTCCCAGACCCGTGAGATTCAGCCAGATTTCTGATTGTAAGTCCCAAGATGAGCTCCCTGTCCTCCTGCAGGGTTGCACTCTGCAAGTTTCTACTGCAGGTTTCAGCTGCTTTTCCCCTGAAGAAAGTCCAGTTTCCAATGGGAGCTGATGATCCCTCCAACTTACCAAGCATGGTGGTCTGGTGTGCCTTTATTGCAGAGATTCCCTTCACTTTTCCGGTGGGCTTGTTTTCATCAGGGAGCCTGAGACAGGCACTCTCTCTGTTGTTCACTTCTGGAGCTCAGGTCAATGGCTTTTATGTCCCCCTGTGCCTCTGTGGAACCAAGTAGCTGCACAGTCAAAAGGCCAGAGGCCGGGGTGGGGGGGAGTGTTGTGGGAGGCACCCGCGCGGCTCAGCCTTCAGCTGGTGGGCCTGCTGGGGGGGGGTGTCCTCCTCACCCTGTCCTGGTGGCTGGTGGGAAGCTGGTGGAGCTGGAATAGAAAGTCTTTATCTCAACCTGATTAAGGCTATCTATGAGATACCAACAGCCAACATCATACTAAATGGTCAAAAACTGAAAACTTTCATGCTAAAATCAGGAACAAGACAAGGATGCCCACTATCACCCCTCCTGTTCAATGTAGTTCTGGAAACATTAGCCACAGCAATTGGAAAAGAGAAAGAAATAAAAGGAATAAAGATAGGAAAGGAAGAAGTGAAACTCTCATTATTTGCTGACGATATGATACTTTACATAGAAGACCCAAAAATCTCAGGCAAGAGCCCAACTCTTCAGGCGATCCAGAAGGTGGGCGGGACACCCGGAAGCTTGCTCCCCTGAATGAGCGCAACAGGCTGAGCGCAGGGCCGCGGCCGGAGCTGGGCTTGGGATGGACAAGCTGAAGAAGGTGCTGAGTGGACAGGACACCGAGGACCAGAGCGGCCTGTCTGAGGTGGTTGAGGCATCATCATTAAGCTGGGGTATCGGGATAAAAGGATTCATCGCATGGTTTGCTATAAGGATTCTCTGCTTGCTGTTGGGAACTTTTCTGCTATGGGTGCCTGATAAGGGAGTCTCCCTCTTCGCAGTGCTCTACACCTTGGGTAACATCGCATCAATTGGGAGCACCATCTTCCTCATGGGCCCCATGAAGCAGCTGAAGCGCATGTTTGAGCCCATGCGTCTGATTGCGACGATCCTGGTGCTGTTGTGCTTTGCAGTCACCTTGTGTTCTGCCTTTTGGTGGAAAAAAAAGGTACTTGTGCTCATCTTCTGCATTTTACAGTCCTTGACCTTGACGCGGTATAGCCTCTCCTTCATTCCATTTGCAAGGGATGCTGTGAAGATGTGTTTCGCTGTGTGTCTTGCATAATTCACTGTCAGTTTTGTAAAGCCCTGAAGGCACCATGGCTGGAAGCTGGTGGTGAGCTTTGTAAATATCCTCTCAACCTCTGTCTTACAGACATGTGCCTTGTTGCCTGCAACTAGAATATTTGAGGGTGGCTTTCAAGCAGCAGTAGATTCCCAAACCCAGTGTCTCTAACACCATCCGAGAGGTGGGTTCTGTGTCTTACAGAGCAGAATCATCCTGTTTTCTCTTAGGATGGTGTCCCACTGAATTCTCACAAAACCTTGCTAAATAGCAGGAGCTGAGCCTCAGGTAGAAGCAGGCACCTCCATCAGAGGTCACAGGGGTGCCACAGTGACGGACACAGAATTGGGGTCAACATGGACTTTGCATGTTTGTCCCTCTGCATGGAGCTCACCGCCACTCCTCCACCCAGTGGGCCATGCTTGTACCCCAGTGTCCGGGAACAAATGATTCTGCCCACCCCAGGCTGGGGCGGGGGGGGGGGCGGCCAAGGGGCGCGGGAGAAATAATACCTTCTGGTGGTTCGTGTTCTTTCCTAATCTGGACCTAGGGTCTGCCGCAGTTCTGAAACACGCCTGACTGTGGAATGTGTTTCTGGCGTTCAACACAGAAACTTTTTTCTTGCTTTGTGCCCCTCCCACCCGTATCTCCATTTGTGATCTTCTGACGCTAGGTCACGTGAGAACGAAGTTGCAGAAAACACTGCTCCTTCCTTTTGGACAAGAGCCAAGAGGAGGTGAAAAAACTTGCCGCTTCCTCCTGTACTTTTTCCTCTTCATTATTCATAAATATTTGCTTTAAAAAACAAAACAAAACTCCGCCAAGATGGCTACTGTTTTTTAAAAAAGAAAATGAGCACCGGGGAGAATGCTGAGAAAATGGAACTTCAGTGCCTCACTGATGGAGCGGAAAACTTGAGTGGCTGCTCAGTGTGTTAAAGGCCGCATCTGTGCTTTCCTGACGCCCTGCTTCCGGGTGTGCACCGTGAGGGCGGAAAGCAGGGGCGCAGGCAGATATCTGCTCACCAGCAATCACAGACGCAAAAGGTAGAAAGGACCCACAGGGCCCGAGAGATGAATAAGGAAACCGTGGAGAACACAGTGCGTGGCGCTTCCGGCAGGTGCCTCCACACGGTTGGACCGGGTCACACTACTCGAGTGACGCGCGGCTAATGTCGCGTTTCCACGGGTGGAAGCTTCTAGAAGGGGCAAAATCAGACAGAAGTAGAACAGAGGCCGCCAGGGCTCGGAGGAGGCAGCGGGGAAGGGGGAGGCGCCAACTGCTGGGTACGGAGGCTCTGGTAGGGATGGCGGAAGCCCTCCCTCATGAAGGAGACGTCGTCGGTGCTGTCTGACCTTCTGTCTCTTTTTTGTATCTTGATGCCGTCCAAGTGGACTTATTGTCCCCAAAACTTACTGTCCACCGAAAGCGCTCTTGGCACAAGGTCTCCTGCAGCGCTGGCCGCCCCGGCGCAGTTGGGAGCCGCTCGGCACCAAGCCTTTCTTTCTCGATTTCCGGGCGGCCCTCCCGAGCGCGGTCCCACCTCTCTGGCTTCCGCCTCTCAGCGCCCTCTGCTGTCGCCACACGTGAGGGCCAGGCCTTGCACTTCCTCTCTCCACCTGATGGTTTCACTCTATCCTTGGGTTGAAATACTGTTTATCTGTTCAAAAGCCACTAAGGACAGTGCAGATCCCCTCGTGAACCCAACTTCCCGTGGGGTGTCGCCATCCAGAGGACTCAGACTCCTGGTAGACGCCCAGAAACCTCCTGACTTTTCACCCCACACAAAAGCCTGTCGTTCCCCTGGTCTTTCCCATTTCCAGTAATGGTAACACCAGCCCGTCATTTGCCTAAGCTAAAAGCAATCGTTTTGTTGTCTTTGCAATTTCCATACCCCACATCCAGGCCACTGGCAAGTCCCACCAACTCTGATTCCTGAATGCAAGTGTCTAGAAAAGAGAAATCCAGAGAAACAGCAGTAGATCCGTCTCCCCCTGTCAGGAAGAGGAGTGAGGAGTTACTGCTTCATGGGCACGGGCTTTCCTTTTGGGGTGATTTTTAGAATCACATGTCACTTAATGACAGGGACCACTTTGTCACTGTGGAAACGTCACGGGGTGCACCCACTGAGACAGTTGCTGCTCAGCGACACTCATGGAACCAAACACGTGGTCCATCAGACTGAAATGCTGATGCACCAGGAGTGACTTGGAGAGGCGGCAGCCACACAGGGGTCAGTGCCCCAAATGCCTTGCTGTTAGACACTTTGAAACGGGTGATTTTACCCTTTCACTTCCATAAAATCAATCCTATGGAATCGGTCTTCAAAATACAGTGAACTTCTGTTCATGAATGCTTTTGTTTGTGCACAATTTGGTTCACAAACAGAAGCGTTTGGCAAAACTTTGGTTTGGGTTGCCAGTTGTGCACTGGGTGACAGATGCGACCGCAGCCATCTTTCCAACATGAACACAACGTGGCCATCTTTTCCAGAGTCGTGGAATGAATTAAGTCCATGAACTGAGGTAGCACTGTGTGCAGAATACGGCCCCTTTCTGCACCTGCTGCTCCCCCTTCAGCCCCGCCCCAGGACCCATCTCTGGCTCCCATGTGGTCTCCTCTTTCTAACCCTGTGCTCAGCACCGGCACCAAAGGACCTGCTGAGCGTAGCAGCCCTGTCGCAGTGCTCCACCCAGAGCCCGCCTACATCGCCTATCTGGGAGATCAGTGCCCCAGACAGGCAGGTCTTGCATTCTTTCTGTCACCTCCTCAGACGCCCACCTCGGCCATTCCCCTCCACTCACTCTGGTCTCCTCACTGACCTCGAGCAGCTCCAGGCTGCTGGCCACAGGGCCGTGATGGCTCGCCCTGGTTTCTCTGGAAACGTCCCCAGGATGCCCACACAACTGCTCCGTGATCTCCTTCCTCCCAGCAGCCTGTGCACGACCTTGTCTTGCTGAGTATCCTTTCCTCACTTCCTGTTCTCATCCTGGGCTTTCCTGGTCACTGTGTATTTCGCCTTCAACCACATCAGTTAAACTTTATTTTCATCCGCTGAAGTGATAACTCATGAGAGCAAGGGGATTTTTAAAAGTTCTTTGTTTGCCAGCGTATTTTCAGTGCCAAACCTTGACAGCTTGGCACCTTTTGGATGGATGTTTGAGAGGCAAACCTGTAGGCATGTGCTGTGCAATGTTTGTGTCATCCAGAAATCGTATGTTGGAGCTCACGTCTGAGGGGACGTGGTGTTTGAGGCAGGGCTTTGGGAGTGGTCATACCAGGGGGACAGAACTTCCATGGCCGGGACTAGCGGCCTTACCAGAGGCCACCGGGAGCGCTCCTTCCTTCCACCAGATGAAGACGCAGCAGGGAGGTGAAATCCGTGAGCAAGGAAGGGGGGGGGGTGTCACCAGACGGCAAACCTGCCAGAGCCCTGGGCCTGGGCTTTCCAGCCTCCAGGGGTGTGAGAAATAAATTGCTGCTGCTTATAACCCATCTGTTGTCTGGGACCTGTAGCGGCCTGAAGGGACCGACAGGCTGCCCTATCGGTGGTGGTCGGAGGTGGGCGTCCGTGTGTCACCTCGTGTGTACATGCGGTCTGCAGGTGTCCTAGAAGCAGAACCTCTGCATCACAGCTCTCTGCACAACCCACTGGGGATAGCCGGCGGAAAGGTCTTCCTGCTAGGGTTCCCATGCAGTGCACGAAAAGAAGCAAAATGATTTCATTGCAACACCGCCCTCTGCCCTCCGAATTTCTTAAAACTGCAGTTCAGCGTGGCTGGGAGGTGACCAGCAATTCTCATGCAATGCGTAGAGATAGACAACCTTCCTGTGGCTGGGTTCCGTTCCTGCAGGCAGCGCCACCCACTGGGTGGGAGGAGTGCTAGCACCTTTGTCATGGGAACAAGTCCAGCTATTTGGACCCAAAGCCGAACAGAAAGTTTAACACGGTTAGCCAGGCATGGCTGCCCTCCTATAACCCCAGCATTCTTGGGGGCTGAAGCAGGGAGTTCACAAGTTCGGGCTCAGCCTGGGTAACAGCAGTTTCGCAAGACTGTTTCAAAAACTAAAAATAAATAAATGGGCTGGGCATGTAGCTCGGGACGTAGGTCCTGGGTTCAACCCCCAGTATCATACACACACACACACACTAACATGTTTGTCTAGGGCCGAGGGTTTAGCTCAGTGGTTTTGCTGCCTCCTGCGCAAGCGCAAGGACCCGAGTTCAATCCCCAATACTAAAAAAAAAGTTTATCTAGAAATTTGGGTGTTAAGTTAGAAGTTACGAGGGGTACCGGGTGTGGGAGTGCAGACCTGTAATCCCAGCACTTGGGGGGCTGAGGCGGGAGGACTGCCACAAGTTTGAGGCCAGCCTGGGCTAGGTAGTGAGTTCTAGCCCAGCTTGAACTACACAGTGAGATCCTGTCTCCAAAATTATAAAATAAAAAAGAAGTTATGAGGGGGAAGTTGTTGAGTAAGAAGTTACGATGGAATGGAGTTTGGGGGAGGACAAAAATTTACCTGTGATGTCAGGAATAAACACTTTATTCACTTTGAGATTACTTCTATCCCAAATGGAGATTTCTACTTGGTCACATAGTTCCTAGATTTTCGATATTTTACCTGATTCTGATTTTGTTTAAGTGCTCATAAAAGTGTTGATATAGGGCTGGGGATTTAGCTCAGTGGTTTCGCCGCCTGCTGCGCAAGCGCAAGGACCCAAGTTCGATCCCCGGTACAAAAAAAAAAAAAAAAAAAGTGTTGGTATATGGCTTAGCTGTTCCTCAAAGGAAAGTACAGGAAATGAAGATCACAAAGTGGATTTGAGATGAAGCCCTTGTGGTCAGCGCACCCTGCTTTCCACAGCATGGACGGGCTTTGAGGAGCGTGGCAGACGCACAGTGTACTCTGCCACACATGGATAGAGGGTCTGCCCTTGGGGGCAAGGACGTGCCCTTGCTTTTGTGGTACTGGGGATTTACCCAGGGCCTTTGCACTGAGCTACATCCCCTGCCCTTAAAAACAAATTTACACTGAGACAAGACCTCATTAAATTGCTAGACTGCCCAGGCTGAGCTCAACCTTGCAATCTTCCTGCCTCAGCCTCCTAGACTGCTGGGATTGCAGTCATGCACCACTAGCGCAGCTTGTTTCCATTTTCTTCTCCAGTGTCCGCACAGGCCTCACCTGCACTCTCCCTGACACTGAGGTGACAGGGACCAGATGACCGCAGCAGCCCGAAATCGCACTCGCCCAGCCCTGCACCCCCCCCCCCGGCTGCACTTCCTCTCTGTGCCCCCAGACGCCTGCCTGCTCCCCCGCCTCCCTTCGGGACAATGGGCTCATGCTGTACATGGCCAAGCTGAGCACAGGGGAGCTACAAGGGTTCAAGCAGCTGCTAGTGGAGAAGCTCATGACCAGCTCCAGCCCCGTCACCGGGGACCAGCTGAGCTCGGCCAGCTGGGCGGAAGTGGTTCACCTCTTGGTGCAGCAGTTCCCTGGCCGGCAAGCTTGGGACGTGGCCCACAACATCTTTTCCAAGATGAACCAGAAGAAAATGTGTGTCAGGGTGCAAAAGGAGCTCAAAGGTGAGGGATGGTCCGGCACCAAGAACGAGGTGGGCTTGGGCCGAGGAGCTAAGTACCTGGTACCAGACCCCAAGGGGCCTCCTGGCCACCTGACAGAAAGCAACAGTCTGGGAAGGCGGACCTCGAAGGGCAGAATCTGTCGTCTGTGTCTGCAGGTGCTGCCTATAGGAGATGCGCGAAGGACAGAGGGGGCGAGCTGAAAGGCTCGCATCACCCAGTGAAGGGACAGATTCTGAGGGCCACGCCACTCGCGGGGCGATTTCCTCACCTGTGAACATCACAGCGCGCAGTTGGAGAAGCTACGGTGGCCCTGAGGTCACGAGGTGACAGGGCCACGGGGCACCCCTGTATGCGTGGTCCATGGCTGCATCTGCAGACGCCAGAAGGAGCGGGGCAGCCAGGGTGACGCCCACCGTGTGAAGAGCAAAGGCTAACAGGGGCCATCTCCTTGCGGTCCAGGCCCGTCCAGGAGGCGCGGCAGCCCCGCACCTCGCGCCCAGTGACACCTCTGCCACTGTCCTGGGCCCCTGTCCCCGGGCTGACCCCTGCCCAGTCCCAACGGAGGCCCTTTCTTCTGTGTTCCAGGCCTTCTCCCAACCTGGGGGCCCGAGGATGAGCGTCCGGGAGAATCACAAATGACCCTGGACAAGGAGGAATCTGGTAGGTGGCAAGGGTGACAGCGGGCCAAGGGTGGGGGGGAGGCTTCAGTGCCGCAGGGCAGCTGGGAGCAGGGAGCAGTCAGAGCCTGAGCGCAGCGTCTGCAGGTCCCCTGACCAGAGCAGCTGCTCACGGCCAGGCTCCCTGCCCAAGGCTGCACCTCTGGGGGGCTCAGCCCAGGACAACCTCTCCCTGCCTGGAGTGTCTCTGTCACCACACGAGCGGTGGCTGCCTGGCAACTCCAGCAGGGACTGGTCTGCAACACCCCAGCGAGACCCCGGGAGTGAGTCCGCAGTGGCTGGGATGGGCTTGTGTGTGGCTGTCCCTGGTGTCTGCGGACAGACCCTCAGCACTAGACTCCATGGCTCCTCGGTCCCGTGCATAAAGTAACATTGTGTCTGCATGTAACCCACGCAGGCCCTCCTGCGTGCCGTGAACAATCTCTAGATTTTATCTGCTGTAGGAGACGGCTACTCCATATGGGTCAGGGAACGAGAAGAAATAAAGCCCACACAAGCTCAGCACAGGTTTTTCTCGTCTGTGCAGCTGGTTGAATCCATGGCACTGTGCAGAGCTCCTGGACACAGAAAGCAGGGGATTTATGACACAGCTTGAGGTGGGGAGTCACGGGCCGGTGCAGTGGACAGAGTCAGAAGGAGCGGTTTTCCAAAGAAAAATTGGAGTACACTCTCAGAATGGGAGCAGTGAATCTGCCCACATCCCTGAGCCCCTGGGGCTTCCAAAGCAGGACTCGGCAAGGGCCCAAGGTGTGTGAGCGCCTGGGTAAGGAAACGAGGCCCTGCTGCCGCTCCTCTCTCAGTGCGCTCGACCTCACCAGCAGCAGCACCCGCATCCCGAGTCTCCAGGGTGGACGCCTGGACGATCCGTGGCCTGCTCAAAGCCAGGCTGCTGAGGAGCAGAGAGCAGACTCCTGGAGAGCTCCTGCTCCCTGGAGCCCAGGCCGTGGGCCTCGGCCCTCCCGGGACAGTGCAGGGGTGGACGTTAGAGGCAGGTCCTCAGGGTGCCCCTCCTCCTGCACTTTATTCAGAGACGGAAGCTTCCATCCAGGCTGCTTTCCTCGAAGCCGAAGCCAAAGCCGAGGTCAGCCCTGGGGCGGGCGGCTGGAGGCCCTGTGACTTGGGTGGCCGCGCCCCGGCACTTCCCTGTCTGCTGATCGAAGCAGCCTTGCCTTCCGGGTTGGGGTTGGGTGGACACAAGGCTCGTTTTCTTGCTGTTCTCTCAGTCCTCACCAATTACTCCTCCTCTGGGTCCTGAATCTAGACCAGATAAGGGCGTACAAACTCCGAGTCACGGAGAAGTACTCCCCAGCGTGGGATGGGACGACATGGCCTGGAAGCCAGGCAGACTTCTTGTACCGAGCGGCTCGCAGGCACCAGGAGCTCTTGACGTGTCTCTTCCTGCCCAGGAAGCCCGAGTGTGCGCCGCCCAAGGCCGTGGTGATCCAGGGGACCCCGAGTATCGGGAAAACGACGCTGGCCAAGCAGGTGATGCTGGCGTGGGCCTGGGACTCATTCTACGCCCACAAGGCCTGGCACGCTTTCTACTTCCACTGCCAAGAAGTGACCCAGGTGCCAGAGCAGAGCTGCTTGGAGCTGATCGGGCACCAGCTACCTGGGTCCCCTGCTCTGGTGTCCAAGATCCTGTCCAATCCAGAGCTCCTCTTCGACGGCTTTGAGGAGCTCACACCCACTCTCCTGCAGGAGCCAGAGGCTCTCAGCGGAGACTGGAAGCAGCAGTTGCCCAGCTCCGCTCTGCTGAGCAGCTTGCTGAGCAAGACGATGCTGCCACAGGCCTCGCTGCTGGTGGCCGTGCGGCCGGCATCCTGGAACACCGTGAGCCACCTGCTCAGCCAAACCTCTATGGTCACCCTCACCGGGTTTGATAGGACAGAAACAATCGAGTACTTCAGGACATATTTTGGCCACAAGAGGGAGCTCGAACAGGCTGTGAGCTTCGCCCTGGAGAACGAGACGCTCTTGTCGCGGTGCCGGGTGCCTGTGGTGTGCTGGATGGCCTACTGAGGCCTGAGCCAGTGGGGTGTGTGGAGCGTGGATGTCTCCCGGCCGTGTCCCAATGCCACCTCCATGCTGGCCCTGCACCTCTCCACCCTCTTCCCAGACTTGGCCAAGGGTCTTCCTGGCCGGATGGCCCCGGGGCCCCTGGAGGGTCTGTGTCACCTGGCGGCCAGCGGCATGAGGATGGAGCAGTGGGTGTTCAGCAAGGGGGACCTGGTGAAGGCCAGGGTGGAGGACAGCAGTGTTGCCGCCTTTCTCAGTGCCAATATTCTCCGGAGGGTCAATGGTCAGAGCGACTGCTATGTCTTCGTCTTCTTTGTCTTCCAGGAGTTGTTTGCTGTCTTCTTTTACGTGCTCTTTTTCCCACAAAGACTGAAGAATTTCCAAGTGCTGGGCAGCATAGACATCCAGAGCCTGCTGGCCGGGCCTGTGGACGTCTGGCACTTCCTGACCAACATGGGGCTCTTCCTGTTCGGCCTCTTAAACTCGGACTGTGCCTCCATGATGGAGCGCGCCTTCCAGCACAGGGTAACCTCGGTGAACAGGGGCAAGGTGCTCAAAGTCCTGGCTGAGATGTACCAGTACCACCTGCCCATCCCAGGCTGTGGGCTGCAGCAGCTGTTCCACTGCCTGTCGGAGGTCGGCCAGGAGACCTTCCTGAGCTGGGCCCTGCGAGGCTTGTGCAAGGCCACTCTGACGCTGGACAGCGACCAGGACGCCCAGGCCTCTGCCTTTTGCCTCAAGCACTGCCGGGATCTGAAGCGGGTGGAGCTGACCCTCTCGGCAGCCCTCCAGGAGGCGCTGGGGCCCAAGCCTGTGGACAGCCTTCCCCTGGCTGCGTGAATGTGGGCTTCGCCCCCTCCTGCCCGAAGCCTCTGGGGCCCCAGAGCGCAGGCCCACGGGACGATCCTATTCCGCCTTCCCCTCCTGCCACCCGTCTCCCCATCTTCAAATGCTCTTCCCAGCTCCACAAAGTCCACCTCCTTTATTTTGTTCTTAAACTGTCTATACTCTGGGTGTTCATATAAGAAAACCCATGTGATAGTTAAGCTTGAGCGGCTAACGCATTTCATTCAGTGTCATGGTGTCAGGGTGCGCCCATTTTCCTACAAGGGGCCGATCTACCCTTCACTGTGGCAGAGTGGTGCTCCGTGGGGCCTAGCACTGCATTTTCCTTCCGCGCGGATCTGTCGGGGGACTTACAGGCCACTTCCAAGATTCAGCTGTTATGAATGGTGCTGCTGCAGGCATGGGTGAACCTGAGTCTGTAACTCTTTCAGGAATACAGTGGAAGGGAAACAGCGGGGTCAAATGGAGTTTTAGTTTTTGAGGAATCCCCACACTGCTTTCCATAGCGGTTACACAGTTTACACCACCAGAGGAGAAGGGTCCTTTTCCCCCACATCCTCTCCAGCATCTGTTATTATTTGATTTCCTGGTGATGGCCGTTCTTTCTGCGGTAAGTGGAACCGCAGAGTTGCCTTAATTTGCAACCAAAACATGGGCGACTGAATGAGGAGACGCCTGGGGGAGAAGAAGCGGAGATGCCAACGCTCGCCGCCCCACCTACCCTCAGCCAGCCGGGCCGGCCTCCCAGAGGTCTGAGCCGCGTCCGGGACAGCGCAGCAGGACCGGCACCGCCGCTGGTGGGGAGGCATCTGCTCCGCGCTCAGCACCAGCGAGGGCCTGGCGGGCCTGGAGATGACGGCTGTCACCATGGCGCCTGCCTTCGTGTGGCTGCTGGCAGCCGCCCTAAAGCACCCCGAGGGTCTCCTGCGCAGCCTGTCGTAAGTGCGCTGCATCCCTGCGGCTCGCTCTGGGTCCTTTCCTGTGTGCGCCATGTGTCCTCTGCCGGGTTGCAGTGCGGCGCTGGGTGAGGGTGGCAGGAAGGGACCAGGGACTGCCTGACAGGCTGAGCTCAGCTCCATGGCCCTGGTAAGTTGTATTTCTCTGCAGAGGTGTCATCTGGTCGAGGTTGTTTAAACCCTGCTTTCCTAGGTCAGGTCTTGGTCTCTCGTCCCCCTGGCCGGAAGCGCTCTGTCCGCCCACCTCGAGGAGCTGGCGCATGGGCGGACACACCTTACCCCTCTCCCCTCCCTCCGCCTCTCCATCCCCTTCCTCCACCCGGAAGCTCTGTCTCCGGACTCCCTATCATATGTCTTTCCTTTTGCTCTCTATTTATACTTTGGGTTTCTCATGTAAGAAAAACCAAGTGATATCTAAGCTTGGGTGTCTGATTTATTTCACAACATTCTGGTCTCAGGATGCATCCATTTTCCTACAAATGACTCAAGTTTTTCCTTTTTTTTTTTTTGGTACCAGGGATCAAACTCAGGACCTTGCACTTGCAAGGCAGGTGCTGGAACCGCTGAGCTAAATCCCGGGCCCAAGTATTTCCTTCTTTATGGCAAAGTAGTACTCCATTGTGTGTGAATACCACATTGTCTTTATCCATTCGTCTGTTAATGGACACAGGCTGCTTCCAAGATTTAGCTATTGAGTTGTGCTGCTGTAGACATGGTGTGCACAGGCCACTGTAATATGATGTCTACAGTTCTTTTAGGAAGAAACGTAGAAGGGGAATAGCTGGCTGAAATGAGGTTGCTACATTTAGTTTTTGAGGAATCTCCACACTGATTTCCACAGTGGTTGTGCCAGTTTACATTCCCACCAACAATATGGAAGGGTCCTTTTTCCCACAGCCTCACTAGCATTTGTTACTTATTTGATTTCTGTGGAATGAACATTCATTCTGGGTAAGATGGAATCTCAGTGTGATTTTAATTTGCATTTCTCTGGTGGTCATCTATTACAAGCTACAGTGATAAAAGACAGCATGGCACTGGCACAAAAACAGGCATGAGGATCAGTGGAACAGAAACAACCACAAACACATCAACAGTCTGATCTCTGACAAGGCCAGACCCGCACACCGGAGAGACGGGCTCTTTAGCAGATGCTGCCAGGAAAGCTGGCTGTCCACACACAGAGGGCTGAGTCCAGACCCACCTCTCTCGCCATGTAGTAAACTACAAAATGGACCAAAGAACTAAATACAAAAGGAAGGCTTAGCCTTCGAGAAGACGAAATAGGTGTCCCGGGTGTAGGCGGGACTTTCGGAGGGAGCCCTGAGTGCACAGGAAATAGTTCCAGGAGCCAGCAAATGGTATTAAACGAAAAACCTTCTGCACAGCAAAAGAAACAACCGCCAGAGTGAAGAGAGCCTACAGAACGGGAAAAGGCTTTAGCAGCTCCTCCTCACGCAGAGGACTGATATCCAGAACATGTAAAGAGCTCAGAAGAATTAGATCCCCAAAATAAGACCAATAAAACATGGGCAGGGAACTGAACAGACCCTTCTCAGAAGTACAACTGGCCGATAAATACCTAAAGAAATGTTCAACATCACTGGCCACTAAGAAACAACTCAATATTTTAAAATTTTGTTTTGTATTGTTTTTGAGACAGGGTCTCACTATGCACTTCAGGCTGGCCTTGCACTCAAAGAGACCCTCTTGGCCCAGCCTCCTGAGTGCTGGGATGACAAGGCATCTCCCACCAAGCCCGAGGATATTCTAACCATGGTCCCTTTCTGTGCTGGGAGCACTAGGCTGCCTTCCTCCTGTCTGACTGTTTGACACCAGTCCCATCCTCTCCTGTCCCTTCCTGGCCTCTGGCGACCACTGTTCTCCTGACTGCTGTGAGATTTCAGCTCCTTGTGCCGGGCTGTGCTTGCTCAATACGATGGCCCCCAGTTTCACCATGTTGTGACAAATGACGGAATTTCCTTTTTTTAAATGTTCCTTTATTTATTTTATTTATTTTGTGGCACTGGGGATTAAACCCAGGATCTTTGCACTGAGCTACTCTGAGTGATTCTGAGACGGGGGCTTGGTAAGTAGCCTGGGCTTAAACTTGGTAGCCTCCTGCCTCAGCCTCCCAGAGAGGCAGGATTCCCTTCTTTCTTGGAGCATTCCCTTGTGTCTCTCCCACATGTTTTCTCTCCCTCTCTGTCCTGTGTGCCAAGGGCCGATCCGAGGTGCTGGGTGAGCGGAGCCCCTGCAGGAGCGGGCTGTCAGCCCAGCAGGGTCCTCACGTCCTGTGAGTGGTTTGTGCACAGCGCCTCGGGCTTCTGTCCAGGCGCAGCCCTGCGTCAAGAAGGTGAGCAGCTCTGGGAGCCGGGCCTGGGTTAGGGTTGGGCTTCTGGCTAAGGCCAAGCTTCAGTTTCAGGTCCAGGAGACAGTGAATAGCGCTCTGGCCATGGGCCCTGCACTGCCCTGTGTCACAGGGCACCAAACCATGCTCCAGTCCTGCAGCCCAGAGGCAGTGAGGCTGGCTGGCGCTGCCCAGGGCTCCGTGCACTGAGCCTGGGGGTTCAGGGTCTTGGGCCCTTACACCTCGCCTATGACCTTCCTGGGTGTACGTGCTGGCCTGGCAGCCTCTGCTCTTCTCTCCATCCTCACTGCGGTCCCTGTGGGCGCCGCCTCCTGAGCCCTTCGGATGGTGTGGACGAATTCACTGCCTCACAGGCCTGGAACGGAAACTTAGACAGCAACGGACACAGACTTTACAGAGAGGGAGGCTGAGCTGAGAACGTGGCTTTTCTCCACCGGTGTGTTTGTGACACATGCTAAGTGCCGTCCCGAGAGCTGGTGCATGTATGTCCTGTCTTGATGACTCTCAACGCCCCAGCCTTCCCTTTCCCATCCCCTCCCATCTCCATGAAGTCTATCGCCCTGTTTCCTATCATCCTTTATTTTGCTCTTTAAATTATTTATACTTTGAGTTTCTAATTGAAGAGAAACCATGCAATATTTAGCCTGCTGTGCTGACTTATTTCACTTAACATTATGGTCTCAAGATCCATTCATTTTCCTACAAATGGCTCAAATTCATCCTTTTTGTGGCTGAGTAATACTCCACTGTTTATATACCACATTTTATCCATTTGCCTGCTGATGGGTATCTTGGCTGAGCTCCATGCTGCACGGATAGCAGCACACATAATCTTGACGATTTACTCACTCACCCTGACTTGCTGCATTTCCAGCACAGGTCTGTATGACTATGTGTTTGTGTTGGTCTTTAGCATTTGCAACCTGGTCTCTGCAGTGAGCCCAGGGAACCCAGTATGACAGCCACAGAACCTGCGGTGGCCCCGTTATAATCCGACTCTGCCTCCCTCTCCAGGTTAAAGGGTGTGGGCCCCAGCATGCTGCATGAAGACTTGTTCAGAGTCTTCGTTGAGAACTCTCACATGACGTCCCTGGAAATACAGTGCACAGAAGTGGGGTACCAGGCTGCGCAGCTTCTGCGTGCTACCCTCCACTCCCCCAAGTGCCACATTCAGAGTCTGAGGTGAGCCCTGGGCTGGGCAGAGCTGGGGGCTGGCACCTGTCTCCCCCAGGCCTGCACTGCTGCTGTTGCTGAGCTCAGAGACCAAGTGTGATTTCCGTTCCCTCAGACAGCATCTGCTGGTGGGGCGGCGCTGGGTGTGGAATTGTGCTTCTGATTCTTGAGCCATCTCCATACCATTTTGCACAGCGGCTGCTCTGACCCCACTTCCCATGGGCCAGGCTCGGGGCTCCCTTCCTCTGCCTCGGCACTCGAGGTCTGTGGCAGTTTGCACATGCTGCCCATGCCGGCCGGGTCTTCAGGACCACAGCCCAGACGTGTCTGGTGTGGGAGACTCAGCCTCTGCTGAGCAGGGCTAGCTCAGGGGTTTTGTAAGCCAGTTGTTAAACAGTATTTTAAAAAATTAAATCCTCCAAAATTCTTAAGCGAAGGTGGGCAGCAGATGCCCAAACCCACATCTTCCGGTTGTTCTAGTTTTACAATTAGGTCCGGCACACTTGTCATCACTGGCCACATTGGGTGTTCTGGGCTCTGCAGCTCATACAGTCTCGCTGCTCCGCGGCCATAGCCCATTGGCGGACAAACAGATGTGGCTGTATTCCAATAAAACTATTATCACCGGGCCCAGGAGCACTTGCCTGTAATCCCAGCACTCCAAGAGGCTGAGGCAGGAGGATCGAGAAAGTTCAAGGCTAGCCTGGGCAATTTAGGGAGACTGTGTCTGAAAGTAATGTAAATAAAAAGGGCTGGAGGCGTAGCTCAGTAGTGGGGTACTTGCTACGCATGCACAAAGCCCTGGGTTCAATTCCCAGCATCTCACACACACACACACACACACTCACACACACACACCTCACAGCCTGTACAGTGTCAGCTTAGCCCCTGCCCGCTGCTGGTCTATGCCCTGAAGCTGCTGACGTCTCCTGGATCCACAAGGTGGAAACACGATGTCAGGGTCGTGACCTCCACGGGCAGCTGAACCCAGCCAGGAGGAGCTGGCGAGGGAGGAGTCAGAGGGTCGCAGCACCCAGCACCACCCAGCAGCCTGAGCGGGCCAGGACGGCTCAGCGCGAGGCCTGGCTTTGCCCGAAGGAGCTTCGGGACTCGGAGTCAGCCCCGTGGCTGCATCGCCTCCTCTCCCGCGTGCTTGTCCGGCAAAGGCGCGGAGGGAAGCTGTTTCCAGGGCCGGAGCCGCCTCGTCCTGTCCAGGGGTTGCGGCCCAGTGTGCGCTGGCCGCGCCTGGCACAGGCATACGGCTGGGGGAGTCGGGACCCCCGAGGCGCCCCCCAAGGGCCGTGACCCCAGCCCAGGCTCGGCGTGCGCATGCGTGGGTGTCCTGCATCCCCCCCAGGCTGGTGTCCTGCGTGGCCCCCCCTCGAGAGTGGGTCCTCCTGGCCCGCGACCTTCAAGACAGCGCACACCTGCAGACCCTGGCGCTGAGTGGAGCCTGCCTGGCGCTGTCGGCGGCGATCTTCGTGTCTGCGAGGCAGCTCCGGAGGTTGGCGTGAGTCCGCTGGGCGGCAGCCTGGGGTGACGGCGCGGCCCCAGCTGGCGGGGCGGCCCCTGGACCAAACAGAACCTCGCCAGCCCGTCTGAGCTCACAGTGGTGACACGCTGACACACTCACGGCGGCCATTCCGAGCCGGGGAAGGCTGGCATTTTAGCACTGGCCTCATCACACGTTTATCCTTAAGCAGGGAGTCGCTAAGCCCCACACTGCTCACACGAGGCGCGCCCTCCTTTCTGAGCAGTATTTTCCTGCTCCCTTCTGCGGTCGGCTCCTCTTCGCTGCCCATGTTAATGTTTGTGTGAACGTGCAGGGAGCTCTCTGCTGCCCTGCAGGCTGGGGTTTGCCCTGCTGCCCGCTCTTACAGTTACACGCGCACACTCGCGCATACACACGCACACACGGGTGCTGTGGCGGGCGTTGCTGCACAGGGCGGCCGTGCTGCAGGTCGCGCTCCTCCGGGCTGCGCACCTCCGGGCTCCGTCCACCCATAGCGCGTCTGACAGCTCCTCTGAGCCTTCGCAGCCCGCTTTCTGACCGCTTTTCCACTCGGTGGCGTGGGAACGGGATCCCGTTTTCATTGCGTCACGCTGATCCCTGACGAACGCTTTCCACAACCTCAGCCTCCGCCTTAGCTCTAAACTGCAGGCCAGGCTTCTGCGCCTCTCCTCCTCCTGGGCCATCCCTTTCCTGTCTCACAGGGGCGGGCGGGGGCTGTTTGTTCCTTTGGTTGGCTGGGATATTTTTGGTATAGGGAACTGCTGGCAGGCCTTCACGCTGTGTGACACAATCAGCCCTTTTTTGTTTATTTTGAGACAGGTTCTCCCCCAGACGCTAAATTGCCCAGGCTGGGCTTGAACTTACAATCCCCCCTGCCTCAGCCTCCCAGAGGGCTGGGGTCACAGGCGTGCATCCCCACACCCGGCCACCTGTCCGCAGCTCACCTCGAGTCTCTGTCCCCAGGCTGGAGAGCTGCGGGCTCATGAAGCTGGCCTGCCCGGGCGTGGCCGTCTCCCTGGGGAGCAGCCGGACGCTGACGCACCTGAGCCTGGCGGGCAATGCCCTGAAGGATGAAGGGGCGAGGCACATCTGGGAGAGCCTGGCAAGCGCGGCGCTGCCCCTCCAGAGGCTGGTGTGAGTCCCCAGGTGCCTCCCCTTGAGGCTCGGCGTGCGGGGAGCAGTGCCGAGCACACCTGCTTCGTGTTCTAGTCTGTGGCACACGTGTGACCCACAGAGGCCTATTGGAGCCATGCTTGTGCCAGGGGACAGCAGTCAGGAAAAGGGTGTTATTTCCACTGAAGAGGCAGGTTAGCGGGGCCCAGGCACCCAGGGCCCTGCAGATGCGCAGGACGGCGACATCTGCTCATCACAAGAGCCGGGCGGGGGCTCAGGGTCAGTGTCCAGGTCACGCTGCCTTCCTCCTGGGGAGGTCTCACTTGGCTGTCACGGGAGGAAGTTCAGCACAGAATTAAATACGGAGCCAGGCATGGTGGTGCACGCCTGTGACCCCAGCACTCTGGGAGGCTGAGGCAGGAGGATGGCAAGTGTGAGGCCGATGACGATGTGTCTCCGAGAGGAAAAGTCGCCGGAGTCTGCAGGTGTGGGCCTCTGGGTCACGCGCCCATGCCTGCTGTGGGGACCAGAGCGGGGGTCCCTGGTCATCCCGTGAGAGGGAGCCACACCCCACAGAGGCGGGGGCCGAGGCAATCCAGCCCCGTAAACAGTGCCCTCGTGTCTGAAATCCACCCCTCCTGGGCCCACCCCGTCCCTGGTCACCGGGTCCTGGGAGGCTGCAGGCGCCTGGCGGGAAGGGGCAGGGAGACCTTGGAGCCTCCTGCCAGACGGACACACCGGGCCTGTTCACCTTTGTGTTTGGTTCTTGCTGGGCCCGAGCTCCCCAGGGCAGGGGCTGTGCCTCTGGGGCCCCCAGGCCTGATGCAGTGCGTGACGCTTGGGAATTTCTGCAAATGCTTCTGAAATGCTGAAAGAGGCACAAAATACCTGAGGAAGCACTGACACTTTGAGCTTTCCCCGGAGAAGCAGGAGAAGGTGCTGGCACTTCAGAAGACGTTCTTGGCTGTTCCTCAAGTGGTGGAAGACAGAGTCAGCACATGAGTCCTCGGTCTCACTGCTAGGCACAAACACAAGAAAATAAAGCCCTACATCCACACGAAAACCTGCACATATTCCTGCAGCATTCACAGGAGTAAAGAGGCGAGATCCCATGTGTCTGAAAACCAATGAAGGAACAAAGAAAATGTGCGTAACTTTGCCGCGGAATACTATGCAGCCATAAAAAGGAACATGCTGGTTCATGCTAAGACATGGAGAAACCTTGAGAATAGTCTAAGTGGAAGACACCAAGCACCCAAAGGTCACGTACTACACCATGCACTTCACAGGATATGTCCGAAAGGAGGAAAGCCATGGTGAGGGAAAGCAAGTTCTCTGTTTCACCAGAGCTAGAAAGCCTGGGGAAGAGTGAGAAATAGGAATGACTTAGTGCTCTGCAAGGGGGCAGTGGGGAGCAAATGTGGCTGTCTGGGTGCTCAGTGACCCGGGCTCCTCTGCAGGCTGAGAAGGTGTGCTCTGACCTCGGCTTGCTGTCAGGACGTGGCCTCAGCTCTCGAGAGCAGCAGCGCCCTCCAAAGCCTGGACCTCAGCCTCAATGACCTCGGGGATGACGGCGCCGCCACTCTGTGCGAGGCCCTGGCGTGCCCCAGCTGCCACCTGCATGTCCTGGAGTGAGAGCGCCTGTCCTGGGGTTGGTGCTGGGACCCTCGGGGCAGGGTGGGGTTGGGAGAAGGAGGTGCTCCCCAGCCCTTGGGAAGGGCGCCCGGGAGGGGGAGGGGAGGCCAGAGCCCCCAGCGCTGACCCTGCCGCCTGCCCCAGGCTGGAGCGCTGCCTCCTCACCTCTGCTGGCTGCCTTGCCCTGGCGGCTGTGCCGGGCACCAACCTGGAGCTGAGGCACCTGGACGTGAGCGGGAACGATGTTGGGGAGCGGGGCCAGCAGGCCTTGGTCAGCGGCCACCGCCAGGCATGCAACGTTGTCCTCCGGTAAGCGGTGCCCGGGCTCCTGCCCTGCGGTCCCAATCGGCCTGGCCTGCCACAGATCCGGGAGCTGCGCAGGCCACGGGGACAGGGACGGGGACACGGGCGGGCGCCCCGGGGTCCGGGGTGCAGGAGCTGCCCACTTTGTGTCCTCCAGGGAGAAGGAGCACGGAGGGCTGGACGTGCTGGCCAGGCTGGCAGGCCCCGCCCCTGAGCGGGGCGTCCTGAGCATCGTCAAGGACTGGGACCAGTAGGGCCAGGCAGGAGCGCAGCCCCGCTGGGCCCTGCGGCCTGGGAGGTGCTTGGTGAACTGACTAAAATGTGCACAGATGCAGTAAGACATCGTCAGTCCCTGTCCTTTATCTACCGGCACCTGCATCCGTCGGGAGGGCTTTGTCAGGGCAGGGGTCAGGGCAGGGAAGGGAAGGACTCGGCAAACCCTGACCTGGAGGGAGCAGGACAGGCGGAGCATGAGCAGGGTGTCGGCAGGCCCAGGTCCTCCTCTGGGCTCCAGCCAGGTGCAGAGGGGCCGCAGTGGACAGGCTGAATTGCAGAAACACACTTCGGGGGCAGCTGTACATTTGTGCCTGGTTGCTCAGGCACCTGTGTATAAATGCAGGTATGTTGTTGGTTTCTTTGGGTACCGGGGATCGAACTGGGGACCTTGTGCTTGCAAGGCAGGCATGACCACTGAGCTAAATCCCGGCCCTGTATTTTATTATTCTCTCAGCATGTGAATGCACTGACATGCGCACGTACCTCTTAATACTTGCTAACTTGGCCGTCAGCCTGAGGCCCCGTCACAAATCTCACGGAGAGAGGGAGAGTGCAAGGGCAGGGAGGGTCCACGGCCAAGGCAGGGTCTGAGCCTAGAGCAGCTGATGCAGGTGTAACTCTCGGGGAGAGGCGCTGGGAACCAAGGCCCTCGAGCTCCGGCTCCAGCAAGGAAGCGGCCTCTCTCCTCGCTTCTCTCCTTGTTCCCACTGTGACTGCTTCTCCTTCTAAACTTGTATCTCTATGCTTTCTACAAGCATATGAATCCAACAAATCTACCCTCAGCAGAGGCAGTGCTGGGCCTGTGGAGGAGGAGGAGCCCCATCCTCGCGTCTGGGCAACCCGAAGGGTTCCCAAGGCCAGTGCATGGGGCCGAGGAGGGGCGGCGCCTCCTGGGAGGCCCAGGGCTTTCTTGAGTCCCGACTGACCGACAAGCCTTCTCCAAGAAGTTAGGGCAGCGTTTAGAACACAAAGATCCAGAAAGCCATCGCGTAGTTTTCTTTTACCTTTTCCTACACAGTGTAATGGATTTTGTTGAAAAGTTAGAGCAGGAACTAAGTGTGGTGGTGCACGCCTGTCATCCCAGCACTGGGAGGCAGAGGCAGGAGGATGGCAAGTTTGAGCCCAGCTTGGGCAACTGAGCAAGTTAGCGAGACCCTGTCTCAAAACAGAAAATGAAAAGGTGGGGATGTAGCTCAGTGTGAAGGTCCTGGGTCCAGTCCCCAGCACCGCACACACACAGGTATTGTTGTTGTTGCTTGGTGTGTCTTACTTAACATCGCCCGGATTCACCTGTGTGTCAGAAAGGACATGTTTCCCTCTTCTGTGAGGCTCACGGCATGCTGCCATGCGCGTCCACTGTCCCTTCACACGCTCATTGGTGGGGCATGCCTGGGTGCACTGTTTTTCTCAGCTGTGGTGAACGTGGCGTGTAGGTGTCTCCTTGCCACACCAGCTCCGCAGCCTTGGATGTGAGCACCCAGAAGCCAACTGCAGCGTCACACGCTGGCTCCATTCCGAGTGTTTGAGGAACCTGGATGAAATTACCCTTTCTCCGTCAAGGACATTTGATGTCCCATTGCCTGGGCCCCAGGCATTCCCACCTCCTGATAAAGGGGCTGCCAACAGCTCCCTGGCTGAGCCCGACAGCAGGGAGGGCTGGAAACGCAGACGCAGGGCTTCGTGGCAGGGCCGAAGAGCGGAGGCCCGGTGGGCGGTGTGGGCATCTGTGCCACAGACTCACTCAGCCCCGCCTCTCCCTGCCTGCCCACCTCTCCCCAAAAGGAAAAGTGCTGAGCTTCAACTCCAGTAGGTTTTCTTTTCATGGCACAAAGGTTGGCAACTTTGAAACTACCTGTGTGAGTTCAGGACTTGAAGGAGTAAACAGCAACGCTGAGAATAAGGGATTAAATTAAAGCAGCACCGAGTCCCACCATCCCCAGAGGGCAGGGCCATCTTCAAGAAACCCAGCAGTAACAAGCGCTGGCGAGGGGCCTTCCCCACGGGTGGGGGAGTACGCGGTACAACACTGCAGAGATCAGTGTGGAGACGCCTCAGAAAGGAAGACAAATTCCTGAGCTGGGAATGTAGCTCAGTGGTTCCACCGCCTGCCTCGAAAGTGCAAGGTCCTGAGTTCCATCCCCGGTACCAAAAAAAGAGAAAAGAACGAAATTCCTTTGGCCCCAGGTTTTCCCCTGTAGGGCCTCTCCGGGAAGAGGTGAAGACACCGTATTACAGTGACCCACGCACAGCCTTGCTTGTAGCTAGCAGGTCCCACCGCACCAGGCCTGGTGAGCCCTGCTGTCGCCAGGCGCCGCTCACCCATCCAGAGACCTCTTTGTCCCGTCCCAGCCCAGCCCAGCCCCTATGGGATTTGAACCCAGAGCCTTTGCCCTGAGCTCCAGCCCCAGCCCTTTTTAACTTTTCTTTTAGACACAGGGTCTCACTGAGCTGCCCAGCGTGGGCTCAAACCTCTGACCCTCCTGCCTCAGCCTCCCAGAGTCCCAGGATTAAGGGGGTGCAGCACCCTGCCCAGCGCGTCCTCGCGGTTACTCCAGTTCTTGACTGTGACCGCAGACTGAATCCGGGCCAGTACCTTGCCCGCTGGGCCAGCGTGGTGAGGTGATGCCAGGCTCACACGGCAGCTCTGCTCTGGGCCAGGCCCGTCACACAGCAGTGGGGAAGGGCGTCACTCTGCACTGGGCGTTCTTTGCCCACGACTCAGGAACCACCTTCCAGAATGGCTCCCAGGGAGCGGGCCAAGGCACGGGCAGCCTGCAGGGTGGACATGCTCACCCTGGCATCGTCCAGGTTGTGTCTTTGTGAACAATCGCAAGGTCACTACCAACCTGCTCCCCGCCTCCCTCCTTCACAAATGGGACAACTGGGTGTCGGAGTCAGAGCATAAGTAAGACGCTGTCAGAAAAGGGAGAGGTATTGCACAGAGGGAGGGAGAGAGAGGAAGGGCCATGCGGTCACCCGCTTACAGCTCCCAGGGGCACCGTGAGTGTGGCCTGCTTCCCTGGGGCCGCATCCCCAGAACCCCAGCCTTCCCTGCCTCTCAAGCCCGGCCACTGTGTGGCTCCAGGTGCTCACTGCGGTGGGCTAAGTGCTGGCCTCTGACATGGGATGCAACTTGGAAAGACGGAGGGGTCACACTGCAAGTTTCCACTGAGTCCCATTAAGAAGTCAGCATCTTCTCCTGTTTGTCCAACACAGAAGCCCTGCTCTGTCTGAAGCACTGCAGTAGTTCCAGGTGGAGCGGGGTGCTTGCTAGAGGCAACCCAGGGGTCAGCTAGAGGAGGAGGAGGAGGCAGGCCGAAGTCTGTGCGCACCTGGCCTCCATGTCTGCAGAGCCCACAGACCCAGCCAACTGCCCCTCAGATGTTCAAAAAAAGAAAAAAAGAAACTGCATTTGTACTGCACACACACAGACCCTTTTCCTGCCATTATTCCCCAGAGCAATCCAGCGAGACATCACACTGCACTGGACTGTGAGTGACTAGAGGCGGCTCCGTGTGCCCGAGGTTACGTTGTTGACTGCACCACCTTAGGCCAGGGACTCGAGAAGAGGTCCTGGAGCCCCTCCCGTGGGTGCTGTGGGCGCCTGTCTGTGCGGAGTGCTCTGAAACCTTGAAAGCTCAACACGGCAGATACTCACTGTTTTCCAGGGGCTGGTGTGTCAGGTACTGTGACCGACACCACACTGTGGGGCAGCTCAGAAACAAGCCTGAGGGGAGGGCTGGTCCTGCACCCCACAGCCCTCAGACCCTGCCTGGGCCTGGAGATCTGGCTTACAGGAGCCAGAGGCTCAGGGAGCCTGGCCGGACAGTGGTTCCCAGGGCCTCGCTTCCCCGCCCTTGGTAGAACTCCTTCCAGGTCAGGTCTGCTGCAAGGCATACTGGGAAATATAGTCCAGCTGTGTCCAGAAGGGAGTTTGTACACCTGCTCCCACCCAGCCAAGCACTGCCCTGGGGGCTCCTACCGTTCTCATCCTCAGCCGCACTGCCACTGGCGTCGGTAGCACTGTTACCCCCACTTCCTAGATGGTAAACTCCGTTACCAAGAAGCTAAGCTAAGGCCAGTACGTGACATGTCAGACTTGGAGTCCATGGGCTGGGCTTTGTGTGGCAGCTGTCTCGGGAGGTGGGGGCACGGCAGGCCAGGTCTCTGCTCCTGAGTGAGTGTCCTGTGGGAATCCCTGGCGGCAGGAGAGGAAAGCAGGGAGCCGGGCCTGCTGCAACAAGGGGACACTCGAGAGCCTGGGTGAGAGCCTGGGGTGGCAGTTGGGCCGCTGCCGATGGATGAGCAGGCCCCAGGCCGGAGCACCCAGTGTCCCGGGACCAGAACGCTGGCTAGAGGAGGCGGCTTGCGCCGCATGGGGATGCAGAAAGCGCTGCGGTGGGCAGAGCCGGGCCGGGCTGGTGGGCTTTCCCCGAAGGTTGGGGTCCTGTGGGTGGACCCACGCCTGCTGCTCTGTGGTCTCCCTGTCAGCAGCCTACTCGCTCAGTAAGGGGGGTGGAGCCCTTCATGAGGCCTGGCCAGGTTGGTGTGCTTCGTGCTTCCTCCCAGGAGTTTCTGTCCCCACCATGGTCCTCGGGGAGGGGGAGCAGCCAGCCACTGGGAACCTGGGGCAGTGGTGCAGTCAGGACCTCAGGGGAGCGTCCTGATGTTGGGGCGGAGGGAAGACCCGGCAGGAGTCCGTGCTACTGAACCCTGAGCATGGCAGGGGTGCTGGGGAGAGACCCCGGGAGCCTCCTCAGCTCCTGGGCCTGGGCCCTCACCACTGCTGCCTGTCAGGCCCTGGCCTCTGCCCCGGCAGCCCGGAGCCTGACCTACCTGTGCATGCCCCTGCCTGGGCGCGGGGAGCCTGCTGTGGGTCTGGCTGGCTTCCTGGGTGGGGTAGGGGCATGGGGGGTTGCAGTTTTGTTGTTTTTGTTTTGTTTTGCAGTAATACTGGGGACAGAACACAGAGCCTTCCTACTAAGCTACATCCCTAGCCCTTTATTTTTAGAGACAGGGTCTTGCTAAATTGCTAATTGGCCCAGGCTGGGCTTGAACTTGTGGTCCTCCTGCCTCAGCCTCCCAGGGTGCTGGGATCACAGGCAACTTTGTCTCTGTCTGTCTGTCTGTCTCTCGCTCTCCTCTCCCCTGCCCTCTCTTTCTTTGTGGTAGCGGGGGTTGAACTCAGGACCTTCTGCTTGAGGCAGGCGGCAGCACCGCGGAGCTAAATCCCCGGCCCTACTTCACAACTTTCTAACATCACAGTGCTCCTCTCAGAGTACCAGGCAGCAGAGGGCATGGGCACTGTCACAGGCAAGGCCCTGGAAACAGCAGCTCCTCGTGGTTCCAGGTCTCTGTGTCCTCTAACGGCACCCAGCCTGTGGTCAGCCAGCACTGGCCATAGCCCAGTGACCCCGGTTCCCGGAGCCTCTGGTCACGCCTTGCTTCGTGCTAGAGCGCTGCACTCCTGCTGACGGCTGACAGCTCTGAGCTCTCGCCTGACCCTTGGAGGGCCCTCACAGCATCCTTACCCAGGGGTGTCAGCCTTGGGCCATTTTAAACAGTGAAACCAACAAGAACCTCAAAGCTTCCTCGAGCTGGGCACCAAGTCCTCCAGAGGGACACTCACTCTAGGAGACCTAGCCCTCCGCTTACTGCTTCCCAGACCCCTCATCTGAAATACTCGGACGCAAACGTGTGAAGAGTTTGGATTTTTTTCAGTTTTTGGAATATGTGCAAATAGGTAATGAGATGTCAGGAGGATGGGACCCAAACCGAAGGATGGAATCCATTTCCGCTTCACATGCGCGCGCGTACAGAGCTTCACGGCTGTGCTGTGAGCTGTCCCGGGCCTGGGTGTGGGACTTGGCACTTGGGGTACTGAGTTGGGGCTGAACCATCGCCGGCTTGGGGGCTGGAATTGAGACGTGAGCCGACTGGACTCTGAGGCTGTCCCTCAGGCCCCCTGGCCCCCCCACTGCCTGCCTGCAGGGAACAGAAGCAGGAGCCCTCCCAGGTCCCCCTTGGGCTCTCCCAACTCCCCCTTCCCCTGGGGAATGTGGTTCCCTCACTGGCTCAGAGCCAAGCTCTGATGCACGGCTTTATTTCCCCTGCTGGCTCATTCCTGCGGGCCAAGAGATGCCACGCGGTCCGTGGCATGGGCAAAACAGGCACCGCAGAGGACTCTGGGAAAGGCCTGGGTTCACTGACGGGATGGCCCATCTCTCTCCTGCTGGGTGAGGGGGGCTCTGCGGGCCGTCACCCCCCAGGCACAGAGCAGAGCATAGGGGTCCTGGCGGGTGGAGCATGGGCCTGGCTGCTAGGCCTGGGGAGCGGGTGGCATCTGACCCCTGAGCTCCCTTCTCTTCTTCGAGGGACCTGCTGTCCTCCCTAAGAGGAAAAGGGTTTGACACCCCTGATGGCACTTCCGGGAGCCCGGGTCTCAGCAGAATGCAGCCCTTTGTGCCCCAGCCCGAGGAAGCCACAGGACCCAGGCAGGTGAGGAGGTCTGGGCAGAGCAGCCCCTCGGCTCACCTGGGCACTGGTGGCTACTCAAGTGCTTTCGATGAAGACGACTGAGCAAGTGGAGACTGGAGACAGGGCCCCTTCCTCCCACGCCAGCCCTGGTGGCGGAGGCTGAAGCTGTGTTCTCAGAGCAGGCCCAGCCGGACGCCAAAGACCTGGCACGGGGGCTTTCTGTGTGCAGCTGAATTTGGCCACTGCACTTGTGACGCTGGCGTCACAGGACCTAGGTCATCTGTGACATTTCTGTCCCGCCTTCGAGCATGGGGAGGGAATGAAGCAAACACCCATAGCTGGACAGCACTGAGCAGCTCTGTCGCTCCGTGGGGATCTGAGCAGAGGTGGCCCCCAGACGCGGATGACAGCACTGGCTTTGAAGCTGACCTCTGAATGTCAGAGACACTGACATCTCACTGTTGCACGACATCAGACAACACCAGAGCCCAGTGGTGTGCGTCACCGGGTCCTTCCAGCAGGTCTGCGAGCAGCCAGCTGCTGCTCTTCACAGGGAGGGTTGGGGCAGCATGGCATCTGGGCCAGGGACAGACTAGGGGGACTGCTCATCTTTGAGGCCCTGCCTGGGTGGCCGTTTCAGAAGCAGAGGGCAGCGCAGGGCCCGGTCCTGGGTCCCTGAGGGCTGGGCCTGCTGGGATGGGTCCTTGTCACGGGGCCACGCAGCAGTGGGTGTCAGCTCACTTTGCCTTGCTGTCCCATTGCCTGAGCGTACGGAGGGAAAGGGCTGTGCCAGCCCAGTTCGGGAAGGTTCATCCACAGCTGGCCCCACAGCCCTGGGTCTGGGGTGAGGAACAGCAGGGTGGCCCAGTGCCTGTTGGACCCAGCCACCTCCCAGCAGCAGCACAGGGGTCCTGGCGCTGCCGCAGGGCCCGCGGTCCTCTGTGCTCCTCAGGATCCACTTCCACTTCTCTGACCTGTGACAGCGATGGTGACTGCTCATCTCAGTACAGTCTGTGTGGCCTTGTGTGCTCCTGGCGCCCTGGGGCTGCCCACTCACCTCACAGATGGGCAGCTCTGGGCACAGGAAGCCAGCCAGGTGGAGCCAGGGCGAGGGCTCCTGGGTGCCACTCTGGCAGGAGGTCGCCCCTTCCTACAGCCCCGGCTGGGCCACACTCAGAGTCGGTGCACCCCTGGGAGCACCAGGCTGTTCCGGAGAGCGAGGAGCGCAGAGGATAAGGTGCGGCCAAGGCACTGGGGGTTCCATCTCACTCCTTAGTTCTCAGCTGATTCCAGGTTCCGCGAGCAGGCGATGAAGGAAGATCGTTCTGTGCAGCTCCCGGGTTCTCAGTGCAGGCCACTGCCCACTACAGCTGGGCACCGCAGACGGTGAGCTCCCATGTAAAGGTGTTGTACGCACGCGCACACACACACACAGGCGCACACGCGCACGCTGCTGGCGGTCTTGGACAGCCCTGGCGCACAGAAGCACATAACGTGCAGGGGGAGCAGGGCCGGGGCGGAGTCCTTGCTCTGAGACCTCGGGGTTCCCTGGCCGGGCTCCCTGGAAGGCTGCCGAGCGAGCGCGGGAGAGACGAGCGGGAACCTGACGCTGAGGGCTGCGGCCTCTTCCTTCCTCCGCCTCGGGAGACGAAGGCGTTCCCACAGGCCCAGAGGCCAGGCTGGCTGGCTGGGGACCGTGTCTGCCTTCTGAGCGGGACTGGGCTCCGGGGCCCCAGGGCTGGCGCCCTCCCGCTGTCCCTCTGCCGCGGCGTAGAGCGCTCAGGGTCTCGTGTCTTAGCTAAGCACCTTGGAGGATTCTGTAGAGAGGAAGGGGGTCCGGAGGCTGGCGTGAGAAAGATTTGTGAGCGACACTTTGCAGAGGACCCACTGCTCAGAAAGAACTGTCTGCGGCCGACAGTTCCGGACCACCACCCTGGGGCTGTGCTCCGAAGCGTGGACTCTGCCAGCGGGCGGCCCGGTCTGGCCCGGCCAGGAGGACCGCGTGGTCCGACTGCTCGCCCGGGGCACCGCAACCGGCTTGCAAGGGGACGCCACCTCCTGCCCGGGCCGGAGGGGACCCGGGCTCTGTCCGCGGTGCTGAAGGACCTTCTGGCGCCAGGTGGACAGTGCAGACTTGTCCCCGGGGCAGGAAAGGAAGGGAAGCCAGCGGGGCCAGTGCCAAGCCCCTCCCCACCCACAGTGCGCACACACGTGTGCAATGCGCAGAGGCGCGAACACGCCTACACACACACACACAAAGTGCAGAAACACGCTGGCCACACTCAGCCCCAGGTGCTGAGCTGAGGTTCCCAGGAGCCAGCTCGAGTCGCCGCCTGCCGCGCGGCTCCGGGCGCTGGGGCGCGCGCTCTACAGCTCCTCTGCCGCCGGAAACTCGGATCCTGCTCCCTTGCAAGGTGCTGAAGCAGACTCCCGCTTTCCCTGAACATCAGTACTTCCCGGCACTGCGCCCTCCGCACACCGTCCGTCCGGAACAGGGCTGAGCGGGGTGGACGATCTGAGAAGAAAGTGACGCAGGCAGACGCAAGGACAGGAGGCCACTCCCTTCGTCCCGCCCAGCCACCCCAGCCTCGGCCAGGCCGTCTCCGCCCGTCCTTCAGGCCGGACCCCTTGTCTCCCTCGCTCAGACGACGGGCGGGACCGTGGCTGTCGGTCACGGCTGTGTCCATGGTGCACAAGCTCAGGTCGCCCGGAGGAGCGGGCGGAGGTGGACAGACGCAGGGTCCGCCTCCTCCAGGCCTGCGGGAGGCGGCACTCGCCGAACAGCTCCCTTGCGCCAAAGATACGGCCGTTTCCTCTCGACTGCCGCCGCCGCGCGGTCGGAAAGGCCGCCGTCTAGGCGGACGGCGCGGCTGAGGCGCAGATGTCCACGGCCACGAGAACGGCACGCATGCTTCGCCTGGCAGCCGAGGAAGGAAGCGCCCGACCCGCGCCCCTGCTGCCCGTGTCTGGGCACTGAGGACACCTGGGACCAGGCGTGCACCGACCCGGATGCCGTTCCTCCCCACCCAAGAACCACGCACCAGGGCCAGTCAGTGGCATTTACAGTCGCGCCCCTCTCCCACCTCGCTCAGCTGGGCAACGCCGGGCCCCAGCCCACCCAGTCTAGGAGGGGAGGTACTCAGGCTACAAAATCGGTAAGCCCGCAGGGCAGAAAAATGGAGGGCGGAGTCGACAAGGTGGGTGTGATTAAAAGAAAATTTAATGGGAGAAGGGTCCCTTCCTTTTCCCTCTGGGGAGGGGTTTCCCCGTCCTTCCGCCCGTGCCGCCCCGTGCCTCCTGCGGGGTCTCCCCCAGCTGCTGCGGGGCGAGGAGGGGCGCGGCCCTGAGGGCAGGGTGGCGGGGCGGAGCCGCCGAGCCCTGGCCTCCTGCAGCCGTGTCCGTTTCTCCAGTCTCTGAGCTCCTCCGCCCGCCGCCCCGGCCCTACCGAGCATCCCCGGCGCGGCACTCGGGGCAGCGGGGCGCGCCATCCTCGGCCTCCTCGTCCTCGCCGCCCGCACCATAGAAGCTTTGTCCGCAGCCGCCGCAGACTGTGGGGGCGCCCACGGCGTGCACGCGCTTGTGCCTGCGCAGCGCCGCGCCCTGCACGAAGCCCTCACCGCACTCCACGCAAATGTGTGCGGGCTCCTCACCGCCCGCGGCGCCTGGGCCGTCGCCGTGCTGCGCCCGCTGGTGCGCCAGCAGCCCCGCGGCGTGCCCAAAGCCCTTCCCGCACTCCGCGCACACGTAGGGCTTGGGCGCCGGCGCGCGGCGCGACCGCGGGGCCCCAGCTGCCCGCGCGCCCCCGCTGCCCACAGCCACAGCTGTCGCGCCTGCGCCCTCGCCCGGGGCGCCCACCACAATGATGCCCTCGCCGTCTCCCACCGGGATGGCAATCTCGCCGTCCGCAGCCGCCGCCGCCTCGGGCGCCTGGGCACGGCGCACAGAGGCCGCCAGCACGCGCGCGGCCACGCCAGGGCCCGCGAGCTCGGGGTGCAGCCGCAAGTGGCGCGCCAGGCTCTTGGGCTGGCTGAAGCCGCGGCCGCAGCGCGGGCACACGAAGGGCTTGAGGCCGCTGTGCGAGCGCCGGTGCTTGGCCAGGCTCTTGCTCTGCGTGAAGCTGCGGCCGCAGTCGGGACAGGCGTAGGGCTTCTCGCCCGTGTGGATGCGCTGGTGCTGCATGAGGTTGGAGCTCCAGCTGAAGCGCTTGCCGCACTCGGAGCAGGCGTAGGGCTTCTCGCCCGTGTGGATGCGGCGGTGCTGCACCAGGTGCGAGCTCTGCGAGAAGGTCTTGCCGCAGTCGGCGCACGCGTTCGGTCGCTCGCCCGTGTGCGTGCGCTGGTGGCGCGTCAGCTTGGACCAATGGCTGAAGCTCTTGCCGCACTCGTTGCAGATGTAGGGCGCCGGCGGCCGCGGCCGGGGTGGGGGGCCGGCGGGAGGCGCCGTCGGGGGCGGGGCCAGCTTGGCGGGGGGCCAGCTGGGGACGTCGTCGTCATCCATGATGAGGATGTCCACTGCAAGGCAGGGAGAGGGCGGTCAGTGGGCTGCCAGGGCGCTCCCCCGCCCCACCCCGCCGGGCTGGGCAGCGGTCTTCCCACCCGCAGGCTGACATCCCGACAGGCCCAGAGGCGCACGTCAAAGACAAGAAGGGGAGGGCCACGAAAGGCGTCCAGGAAAGACCCTTTCAGCAGGAGGGCACACCCCGGGCCGCGGCACGAGCACCAGAGCCTCAGCCGGGCGACCGCCCGCTCCAGCACCGCGGTCCTGGCTGCAGGACCGGAGCCAGCTCGGAGGCCGGCCAGCCCTGGCCGTTAGGGCGCGGAGCCTTGGTCTGCAGCCTCCTTGGCGTGTGCACCGTCCTGGAGGGGTCGGCCCGGAGCTAGAGTCATAGACAAGGGCCTCGGCAGGTGCTCACCCCACCCGGAAGGTCTCTTCCAAAAAGTATGAGTCCCAATGACAGCTTTCCCCTCCGAGCCCCGCGCACAGCGCCCCAGGCCACCTGAGGCAGCACCTTGCAAGGGCGGGACCAAGCGAGCGTCGTGTGTCACACCCCGTGAGGTGCTGCAGCTCCGTCTCTCTAGGGCGAAGGCCACACCAGGAAGCCGACTTGGCCCGGGCTGCACGGCCAGCAGGCAGCCGAGCCAGGATGGGCATGTGCACTGGCCCAGCAGACGCCAGAAGGCGCTCCCGCGGAAACATCTTCCCACAACGCCGCCCAGGCGCCTCCAAGGTCACTGTCTACCTGCGCAGGAGAACGGGGTGCAGGGCAGCGCTGCTGAGGAGGTGGCGCGCTGCTGAGGAGCTGGCGCACTGCGGTGTCACATAAACTAAGAACTAAGTTGTGCCGGGCATGGTGGTGCACACCACTCACCCCAGCACTCTGGGAGGCTGAGACAGGAGGATCACAAGTTCAAGCCCAGCCCTGGCAACTTAGCTGAAAATAAAATAAGGGCTGGGGATGTAACTCAGCACAAAAGTCCTCAGTTCAACCCCCAGTACCACAAAAAGAAGGAAAACAAAGAAGTTGTAAGTCAGAAGCACAATACCCAGGGCCAGAGAATGAAACCCTGAACCACCGAAGCGCTCTGTCCCGGCAGAGTGACTGGCTGCAGACAGACCTGCGTTCCGCTGTGGGCAGCGGATTCCTGCCCCTGTCCACACCGCCTTCTTCCAAACAAATGTTTTGTTCGTAAAGTTGTGGAGAGTGGAATGAAGCACCCTGTGGTGCAGCGGCGAGCGGCACAGGGAGCCAAAGGACCCAGCGTGGGCATGGCTGGCTGCCCTTCCCGCTGGCTGGCACTGATGTCTCGGAGCAGCGCCAGGACCCACGTGCATGCGAAGCTGGTCCTGCACCCTCCCTGGAAGGCTCCGCCCCCACCCACCCAGGCCCAGAGACCTTGCTGCGACCTTCTCCTGGAGCCCAAGGGGACCTGGCTGGGAGTCCCCACTCGGGCTGCCCCTCACCAGCTGCTGACCCTGTTGTCACTGCCCATCCCACACAAGGTCCTCTTCCCCGCGGAGGCCCTGGTGCCCCGTGATCTGGTCATGCTGATGGCCACTGCCTCCCAGTGCTTAGAGGTGGATGGGGCACGGGTCTGTCCCTCCATGTCACACACTCGCCGACATGCCGTCTGTGGCAGGTGGGCACCTCCTGCAGGCTGCACTCCTACCAGCCAGCCCCAGGGGCCCGACCACGTCCCACCGAGTCCCACACTCCCTGCTGACCGCCTTGGCTGGTGTCCCTCAGTGCAGACGCTATCAGGAGCAGTCTTGGCTACTCGGAGGAAGTGTGCATAGCTTCTGTTCTGTTTGGTTTTTTGGAAACAAGGTCTTGCTATGCAGTTCACGCTGGCCTCAAACTCAGGCAATCCTCCTGCCTCAGCCTCCCCAGTGCTGGGCTTACAGGCTGCCCCACGATCAAGTTCCTCCCGAGTTGCCATGGACACGGCCCACACAGACACACAGCTGCAGGTTTATCAGCCTCCTCCACGCAAAGGCTGTCTCCCTCTTCCCGCTGAGGCTGGGACTCTCATGCAGGGTGACTGCAGTCAAGCCCTCACTGCTCACTCCCTCACCCTGCACCTCCGCCAACCTTGGTTCCTTTCCTGTCCCCTGGGGCTCACTCCACATGCAGTGTCCTCAGTGGCCCCAGCACTGCCCCTGCTCATGCACGAGTCCTCTGGGCCCGCTCACCTGTCTGTCCCCTTCCTTGCTGACAGGGTTCTCTGTTCTCACCTGTGCACTGAGAGCACGGAGCCATCTTTGAAAAGGTGCCAACAAGAAGTGCGATGACATCACTTCCTTCTGTCATTTGTTGGGGGGGGTTACTGGGGACTGAACCAGGGCCTTCGCATCAAACTACATCCTCAGCCCTTTTCGTGTTTTATGAGACAGTTGCCAAGTTGCTAAGTTGCTCCAGCTGGCTCAAACTAGCAATCCTACTGCCTCAGCCTCCCGCAGTGCTGGGAGGACAGGTGTGGACCCCCATGACCCGCCCCTCACGTGTTCTGGCCACATGCCTGCAGGACTTCTCTCCCTGCAGCTGCGTGGTCTTGGCAGGACACACCCCGCGGTTGCTCTCTCTGTGCGTTTCAGTTCAGGAATGTCCTGGTCCACTGCAGCCTCACTGCTCCCCCTGCTCTTCTGCTCAGTTTCTTCTTCGGGACTGCACCTCGCTGTAAGAGTGGCCTTCCTCTGCCCACCTTCAATATTCCTTGCTGTTTCATGGCTGCTTTTTCCTCTTCCTGTGACGAGTATCTTCCTCATCACCTTCAATTCCTGGTAAGGAGTGGCGCATTTGTTCACCCTTCACTTCTGCCTGGTCTCCACTCTCCCGAAGAGCTGACCCTCCTCTGGCATGTCCTGCATCCCAGGCCTCTCTGGGGTTCTTTCTGGCCATTTACCCCTTGGGGGTGTCCCCTGGGTATTTCTGTTGCTCACTCTGTGGAAAGCTTCCTGTCACTGTCGGTGTCAGGGATGGGCTCAGCTGGCCGGCTCTCCTTCCTATGCAGGGATGGAGACGGAGACCTTGCTCGGCGTGGCACAGCTCCCCGGGCAGCCCCAGGACCAACACCCTGGCAGAGGGAGGGCGACTCCCGCCATGGGCTTCCCGAGACCCCAGCTGGGACCGCGTCTCAGGCAGAGCGACTTCTCGGGCAGACAAGGTCCCTCTGGCCTCTGCACGTCCAGAGCCTGGACCCCACCCCGCCACTGCTGCTCCCACTGCAGCCATGGGCAGGGCCACCGGAGAGGGCGCAGAGGCTGGTGAGGATGCTGCCGAAGCCCAGAGACTGGGAAGTGGGGGCTGAGCGGCAGGAGTGGCCCTGCTCCCTGGGAGTTCCCGAGATGAGCCACAGGCCATGGTAACATAGGGCACCAGAGTCCGTGTCAGCGACAGCGCTGGGCCCAAGGCTCTGAGCGCGCTCTCCGGAAACATGCAAGCACACAGAACAGATACAAGAGCTCCAAGTTCCACAAGCAGCGAGGGGCCGGTCTAACAGGAAGGAAACTGGCCTTGGAGGTCATCTCAGAGCCTCGGCCCCTGGGCTGCTTGGCCCCTGCCTGGGGAGCAGGGGTGGCAGCTGCCCACAGCAGCCTGGCACCTCGGGGACAGGACGCGGGCAGGGGGGCGGCAGGGTGGCCCCGAGTGGGCAGAAACCGCAGCGGCGAGGGCTGAGGGCGCTGGGCCAGGCGTCTCACCAGCTCACTACCATGGACGCTGAGTCTCAGCGCGCGGCCACCGCCCAGGCAACAGACTCGGAGCTGGCTCTCTCCCTGTGGTGGCCTTCTCAACCCGGCCAGCACTGCCTCGATGGAAGGAAGGGGCTGTCGCGCTGGGCACGCAGCCCAGGTGCCCTGTAACAGCACCGGCGCTTAGAGAAGACACCACTTCCCCGAGGTGCGCACAGGTGTCAGTCAGCACATCACGGGCCATCCCAGCCCTTGGCGCAGCACCCCTGGGCCAACACTGCCACCTGGGAGAGGCCAGACAGCGACGGGCCTGGGGCACAGGGGGACAGGCTGCACCCGCCCACCCTGGAGTGCAGCGGCCTCACCTGGGTTTTCCTGACTGGCCATCTGCTGGTCCTCGGAGTCCAGCGGCCCCGGAGACCAGGCCTCTTCCCGCAGCTCCATGTCTGGGTCCCTGCGGGATGAGACACGAGGACGGTCACACGGCTGTCACACAGAATGGCTGGCGGGCAGCGCTTCGGGGAGCACCCGGCTTCCGCTGCCCCGAGACAACGAGTGGCAGTGTGGGGCTCCCAGCACGAAGGCCCCATGCTGCGCCTCAGTGCCCCATGGGAGAGGGGGCCTCCTTTGACTCCCAGGCCAAGCAGACGCAGACACCAGGCGAGCCTGCACTGGCCCATCCACAGGGCCCCCAGGGCACCGACAGCGGACAGGCGCCTGGCAGGCCTGCAGTCACCAGGAGGCCACTGGGTGCCTCCAGACCCCTGAACTTCCAGCCAACGGGTGAGGGCGACAGCTGCCTGCTGCTCAGCCCAGTAAGAGCCACGAGGGGATGGCAGGCCGGTGCTGTCCCAAGCCTGGCTTCTCGGGGCAATGGGGAGGCACTCCTGGCCAGACAGCCCTCCCGCCCAGGTACCTGGCCCTGGGGGAAGGGGCACCTCCACTGTGCCCCCACCGGCCCTGTCTCCCTCCCTGGGCTACCTCCACACAGCGCTGCTGCCACCCTCCACAGCAGGAGCTGTGCTCAGCCGCCTGCGGGGATCCCAGCCCTTATCTTTTATCTGGCAATAGGATCTAGCTAAACTGCCCAGGGGGGAACTTGGGATCCTCCAGCCTCAGCCTCCAGAGTACTTGGGATTACAGGCCTATTCCACTGCATCCAGCTGGAAGTAAGACCTCTTATCAGGCAGGGTGACTGCACAGACTTGGAGGGAGGAAGGAAGCAGGCCAACCTGCCGACCCTGTTCACACTGCCACTTTCCCAACCTGCTCAGCCAGGGCCAGATGGTGCTGAGGCCTGGCCTTGCGGTTACAGTGGGATTCGTGCATTTCCTTCTGCTAATCTCCCTGATGCGACTGGACTGGCTCTCAGACCCCCAGGGCACTGGTGAGTGGCTTCCCGCAGCGGCTGTGGGAAGAGAGGCCAGCAACTCTGGGGACTCAAACGCAGAGTCATGGGCGACCCTGATATCCACTGCTCGGCAGACACCGAAGAGGGGAGGGGCACATGTGACGCAGAAGCCGTACGGAAGAGGGCCGGGCCAGCGTGAGGAAGCCGACTGGGGGGCCGTGGGAACGGAGCCACTGCCTGATGCGTACAGGTTTCCTGGAGGTGACGAAATCGTCCAGCACAAGACAGTAGTCCTGGTTAGGCGGCCTTGTGACTATACTAAACTACTGCATGGTGCACTTCAGAAAAGCAAATTTTCAGTATGCAACTATCTCTAAAGGAAAATAAACTTTTAAAGCAGGGTCTGATTACAACGCCATAAACATTAAAAAGGCACGAGGAAAAAACAGGCTGAGCCACACCAGGCACTGCCAGGGCTCGAGGAGGGAAAGGGAGCGGCCGCCCCTGCCTCTCCAGGCTGCCAAGGGTGATAATGTTTCCACTGAAACAATGAGCCTGGCCGCAGGCACGGGGCTTCCCTCAGCAGGCTCGGCTTCCTGCGGGCGGGGCAGAGGACAGCACACAGGCCTGCCTGTCACCCTGGACGCCTGCCCTGCCAAGGGGACCTTGCAGACAGGGCTCCCCAGGGAGTCGGGCCAGCTACAGAGGGCAGGCAGTCCGGGGCTGTCTGCTGGCCACGGCAACAGGCTCAAGAGCCCCCGGACCCCGCAGGGCCCACTCATGCTGACTCCGACGCACAGGGCTGGGGGTCACGGGCTCAGGCGACAGCCAGCCAGTGGGAGAGCAGCGCTGGGAGGTCCAAGGGGAGGATAGGGCCAGCAAGGAGCGAGGAAGCCTGCCTGGCCAACCCCACAGACTTGACAGGGCTGGGGCAGGTGCCTTGGACGATGGCCTCCCCACCTGCGGAGCTGGGGTCAGGTGAAACGCCCGGAAAATCCGCCTGGACAGGTCAGCTCTGCTCCGCCTCCCAACTCTGCACCGCGCCTTGTGGAGGGCAAGGGCCAGGCACCAGGTCTGTGCGGCCCCTTCTTGCACGCCGGCTCCAGGGCCTCGGCGGCAGCCTGTGCAGGACCCCAAGCAGGCAGCACCTGCACTGTGGCCTGAGCCCCCACCAGGAGGAGGTGCACCGGGAGCTGCAGACCCCAGCGGGACGAGGCAGGGCTCCTGGAGAGGCGGAGACTGCACACTGCATGGGACCTGGCCTCTCCTCTCTGCTCCTTCCCTCTCTCGACCCCCAGACTGATGAGTGGCCTGTTCAATCCCGAGTTCCTTGGCCCCACTCCTGGGCCTTCACAGCTCAGGACCCCACTGCAGGGGGCAGGGTGGGTGCAGCCCCCAGGGAAGCTGCACCCAGTGGAGCACCAGGCAGGGCTGTAAGCCAGCCCCACCTCCAGGGCGAGAAGACCGCCCAGGTGAGTCCAGGAACCCGCTGCCCTGCTGACCTCCAGCTGCAGGGCAAGGGCCCTCGAGCGTGCAATTACCTCGGTCTAACAAGCCTGTTAAGGCCCAGACAAATTATTGTTATTATTGTTGTTATTAGGTCCCGCCCACCCCTCTGGAAGGCTGCCCGTCAAATGCCAATTATCGCCTTTCTTCGGCTGCCAGTCTCCCCTCCTGCCCCTCCCGCCCGCTGGGGCTGGGTGCAGGCTCAGCAGCAGCCCAACCTCTGGGCCACGTGGGACCCTCTCCCGCTCCCTCTCCCTCTCGCCGCCTGCCCTCCCAGCCTCCAGGCCACCTGTCACGCTCCAGCCACCAGATCCAGATCCTGCTGCTCCTCTCAGCTTCGCTCCCCGGACACCCCAGCACACATGCCCCACCGTCCTGGCTCTCACCCACTCCAGCCCCAGCAGGTCGCTGTAAAGACCCTGCGGGCCAAGCAGCCCACTGAAGATGGCACAGGCTCTGGACGGCACTGCTCCAGAGACAGCAGACACGGCCCTGACCTGGTAAGAAGACGCCGCACAGCTGGGTGACAGAGCCAGGGGGAGATGACGCCACTCCCAGAGCCCCGGGCACCCACTGAGAAGGTGATGGCGCATCTGCCCTGGGGATCCACACGGGTCCCGCAGGTGGAGCACAGGCCGCCAGGCACCCAGGAGGAAGCCAGTCCACGTGGTGATCTGGCCTCAGACGCTCATGGGAACGGTGGTCACAAGAGCCCCAAAGTGGGGACGCCAAAGGCCCACCAGCAGGTGGTCTGTGCACACGGCCGGTGTCCCTCAGCCACAGCGAGGCCCAGGGCTGCCACGAGCTACCACACGAGCAGCCTCCGGACCTCTGCCAGCAGAGGAGTCAGGCACCAGACTCTAAGAGACGCCCAGAAGAAGCCAGTCCAGAGAAAGGAAGTGGTGTGCAGGGAGCGAGGGCTCGGCACTGGGCGGCCTCTCCGTGGGGAGGGAAGATCTCCGTGGGCTGGGCTCACACGGTGGACCAAGCCGAAAGCCTCAGAGGGCAGACGGCTCTGTGGGAACAGCTGCCCTGCCCGCCCCGGGGCCAGGCCGCTGCCCTCCACCTCCTCTCGTCCTGCTCCTCTGCAGATGCAGTCTCGGTTCCCCGCATTCTGCCCCTGCGCACCGCGGGTCCCCAGCCTGGGTCGTCACTGCCAGGTCCGAGCAGCCTCCCTAGCTCTTTCTGGCACCGTACGCTGGCGCCACCGAGTGCCTGACGCCTGTCGCCCCCCTCCCCTCACCAGCACCGGAGCTCCCCACGGAGTCCTGCACCCAAGCCATCACCCCAGCTACCTGTCCTGGGGTGACCCTGAGCTGGGTCAGCAGAGCCTGTCCTGGGCGTCCCCTGCACTCTGCTCAAAGTGGCTCCAAGAGGCTCGGGCTCGTCGGCCCTTCTCACCTCCCCTCTCCTCAAGGTCGCTCCTCACTGGACGGGGGCAGCGGCCAGTGTCACCCCAGCCCAGCAGGCCAGCTTAGAGGGACAGCAGTGCGGTGAGGTCTCGGCTCCAGCCACAGCCCCTACTCCACAAGAGGCTTTGCCAACTTCACCCTGCTGTGGGGCTGCCCACCCCACAGTGCCCACAGGAGTCAGGTCCCTGAGGGGAGGGACCCTGCCGGCCGCTGTCCCCACACCCACAGAGCTGATGGCTCCCGTTCTCAAACACTTCGGGGACCTGGGATCTGCTGAAACCAAACAAAACCCTCCCGGGCGGCCTCTGTGGACTCTGGATGTTACGCTGCATCGATCGGGATGTTGACAGAGGCCACCACAGGTGGGACCATGGGAACGCTCTGTACCTTTCCCTCTGTTCTGCTGGGAGCCTGAAACTGCTTGTAAAAGTAAGTCCCGACAGTAAAAAGCCAGGCAAACAAGGCCAGCCCACAGACCCTCCTGCCCTCCCGCTGGCCCACGCTCTGGGTGGGCGCCCCTCCCCTCCCCTCCCCAGCCCACCCCACCTCACCGCCCAGGACCAATACAGCAGGCCAGGTTGCAGGCACAGGCCTCCTAAGCACGTAAGCCCTGGCCTCCTCCGCTAAGCCCAGGGTGAGGACGACAGATGGCAGACAGCCTCTTCGGCGTGCTGCTGGCTCAGAACCCAAGGCTTAGGCTCAGTAGGGGACCACAGGGGCACTGTGCTGAGTGGTCAGCAGGGACCCCTGTCCACTGCAGTCCCTGGAGGGCTCCAGTTCCTCAGAACAGACATGGCAAAGGGGCAGCCCCATCAACACCAGCACTGCCCCGCTTCAGAGCTGAGGAAGCCAAGGTTCAAAGAAGTACAGCGACTAAGACCATGTCATCCCACCAAGAGGCAGGAGCCGCTCTGCCTCCCGTGTCTGTTACTGTGGACAGGACCTCAGGCCCTGGGCGAGGGAGTCCTGCCTGACCCCCACGGTGCCCACCGAGGGTCTCCCCACCCAGCCCAGAGCCTGTCCCCCAGCTCTGCCCCGCACAGACCCACACAACAGCCTCAGGAGTCCACGGCTCCCAGCGGTCTGGCCCCAAGCTGTGGGCCAGGGCTTCCTTGGAAGTCTCAGGTCCCTGACATCATCCACTGCAAGGCCAGGCACCCCCTTCGCCACAAGAGGAAAGCACTGCTCTGCGGGCCAAAAGGAGAGGGCACAAGGCCAAGGCAGGAGCAGTGTGGGAGCCCCCCCACCTGGGCAGGTGCTAGCCACTTCTAACCCTCCCATGGAGCTGCAGCCCCCCAGAGGAAGGGGCTGGGTCCTCAGGACAATGTGCCCCTCAAACAAGGAGGCGAGACCCAACCCTGACACCAAATGGCCTTTGGGACAGACTTCATCCAGACCCAGCTGAGGCCAAACGAATTGAGTCAACAGAGCTAAAGCAGGGTGACCACCCTAGTCCTAGGCCCTGAGAGCACAGGGGGCTGACTACCAAGCACAGCACCATTGCGCTCTAGTGCTGGCCAGGGTCCTCCCAGCACAGCCTAAGGACACACCAGACATGAGTGGCACTTGGGGGAGCTGTGAGGGTGAGCACAGGAAACCAAGATCTGTGTACCCATTGGTGACTACTGAAGAGGGGCTGCGACTCCCCCTCTACCCCTGCACATCCCCCAATCCCTCCCTGTGTATCCTGGGGCTCCCCAGCACTGTGGTCAATGTTCCCACCCTCTCTGCCTGGTCTCCCTCGCAGGTCTGAGCTGTTCCAGGAAGGGGCAGTGGAACCTTGAGACCCTCCTCTCCCACCCAGCTGGGCCACCTGTCTGCAGTCTCCAAGGACTGGGTTTATCCAGGAACTTTGACCTTGTTCTCTGGTTTATGGGACTGAAAAGGAAACAGCCTGGGAAAGGGGAAGTGACACATCCAAGGTCACAGAACTGGAAGAGACTCTGCCTGGCTCCAGAGCCCTTTCTAGTAATGTTGATTCTGAAAGAAAAGAACCAAGAGCCTTCCATTGAGATTACTGCTTTTATTATCACCCCGTTCTGCCCAGGTAGGAACACAGTGAGCTTCCTCGTGTCCAAGGCCACAGGAGTGGGGGACTCACCCTCAGCCCTTGCCTGCCACTAACTGGCAGTCACAAGGACCAGCTCCGAGCCGACCCTTCCCACTCCACAGCCCCGCTCAGGTAGAGACATAAAGGCGCCCAAGGAGGAATCCGATGTCACTGTTCCCTGGGCCAAGGCAGGAAGATCACAAGGCCTGCAAGACGGCAGGCAGTGTCAATGCATTTAGCCCAAGCGGCTTAGGGCTTCAGGGCGAGCTATGGGGGGGGGGGGGTGTCAAGGCCGTAAAGCCCACCCTCAGCTGAGGCCAGGTCTCAAGTTGATCCTCAATTCGCACCCTGGGGCCTGAAACTTGGGAGTCTACACAGAAAGGAACCCATGGAGTCGCCCGTTCCTAGACCCCTGACCAGCTCCCTCGGTCTGGTCTCTGCCTCCCACGCCACCCCAGGTCATCGGTCATCTCAGGGCCCCTGATGCTCAGCACCGGCCTGGCCCTGAGCAGGGCCTTCTCTACATTCGCTTCTCGTCCTGTGTCTGCAGCCTGAGCCCGAAGGTCCCGGCCTTCACCTCCGGGAACGGAGGTCCTTCCTGCCCTGGCAGCCGGCTCGCTCCGGGCCGGGGTGGGAGCGGGGTCCGCGTTCCGCTGGGAAGAGCCCTCCGCGCCGGCCACGCGGCGCTGACCTTGGCCGCCCGTGGGCCCGGGCGCTGGACGGGACCTGCCACCGAAACCCGCGTCGCTAACTGAGGATCAAAGGCCGGCGCCCCCACCCGGGGCAGCAACGGGCCCGGGCACCCGAAAAGGGGAAGGAAGGGACCCGAAGGCCTGGAGCCGAGGCTGCGCCCGGACGCCGTTTCCGCGGCCCTTCCTGCAAGGGGCTTCAACTTCCCCGGAGTCGGAGTCGCCAGCACTTCCGGCCTCGGGCGGCGGTGAGCGCAGATCCGTACCGACCAGGCCCCCTGCCCGGCCCGCCGCGCACGCGCAGAATCCGGGACCGACCGCGACGCCCGCCGCGCGCCCGCTCACGACCCCCCCCACGGCGCGCACGCGCACTCGCCCGCTCTGCTACGCTCGCCCTCCCGCCTCCCCACCCACCCCCGTCCGAAACCCGGCTCCCCGACCCGCGCCTATCCCGGGCTTCGGCGTACGGCCCCCGCGCCCGTGCCCCCCCTCACCTCCTCGGTCCCGGGGCCGCCGTGCCCCACTCCTCCTCCTTGCGCCTGCCTCGCGGATGGTGGCAGCGGCGACTCAGACCCTGGGGTCAGGGGGACGGACGCCCAGGCCGGAAGTGACCTTCCTGGCCGCTTCCGCCCGCGCCGTTTCCCCCTCCCTTCCCCCTCCGCCGGGGCCGCCACCCCGTCCTCGCCGCTCTAGGCAGGCGGGCCCCGCGACCCCTGGCCACCGCCCTCAAGCTCTATGGTGCTGAGCGGAGCCTGAGGGAGCCACTTCCGGACGCGTCTAGGACCCGGGTCCTCCGTGCCCGCTCCATGGCGCCTCACACCGAGGGGCTGCAGCCCCGCCCCTCCCAGGACAGTAGGGGCGGTGCGGCCCGTTAGGCGCTGACTTCCGGGTGTCTGTGCACCCCCCCCCCGTACTTGCGCCTGCGCGGTGCGTGCCACTGCAGGGACGCTCGCGCTACCCGGGCCGTCCCAGCGTCTCTATCGTCATAACCCCTTCGGAGCTGGCTCCAGCGCCCGGTGCAGACCCCTGGCGCCCGCGACCCCCCTGCCTTGTCCAGCCTCAGTTTCCTCCTTAGTAAAGGGATGACCCGTGCTGTACCCCACCAGGTCCTGACAGCGACTCGGGCCGCAGAGCGGTGCTCTCCCCGGTTTGCAAAGGACAGGAGGTCAGGTCACTTACCCAGAGTGACACCAGGCATGGCGGCCCTGGGCGCCTGGCCAGCCCTCGAGGCCTTCGGTGGGCAAGATGAGCCTGCAGACCATGGCCCGCCCTATGCTTGCGGGCTGCGCCCTCTGGTCCGGGCCGGACTTGGCCCGCTCTCACCTAATCCAACCTAAACTGCAGGTCATTTAGGGTTTATTACTTATACTCACTTTTCTATCGTGAGCACTGAAACAGCCACCGAGCTCGGGAGCTCAGGAGTAGAAACACAGGAGCTACGACTGCTTGTAGAGTAACACCTTCCCCAGCCTCGCCTGCTCACCTGTGAAACGGTGGGGGCGACAGTGCGGGAGATAATGCGCGAGAATGGCGCTTCCTTCACCGCCTGGCCCTAGCAAACTCCGTCGCAGTGGCAGCAATCTTTGCGTATTGACAGCACTGTTTCTCCTGCTCTGGCTGCCGCTTACCTTCAAGTGTGGGCAGTGCAAATCCTAGCGTATACTTTGCTGACTGAATAACATCGTCACAGGGAAAACAATCCTGGACAGACATTAGACCAGGAGGTGACCAAAATACTTTAAAATACCATATTAAAAGTGCAGGCCAGTAGTGAGGTATCTGCGTCCCAGTTCCAGAACACTGCAAAGGTAAAAATTTTAAACACCTCTTAGAAAAGGACTACGCTACTATGATCCCAATGAAAGTTATTATTATAGGGATGAAGTCTTCACTAGGAAATGTGTATAAGGAAATGCCACGGGTCTGTTCCTCTGAATCACATCAGTCGTGTCCTGCCTCGGCCTGCTTGGTAGATGGGGCACAGCTTCCTCCGTCTCAGTCCCATTGCCCTCCCGCTGCAAACAGAACCAAACGGGTTTGGGTGGCTACTGAGGATGCCGGAAGGGGGGGGGCACTTGCTGCCTTTGTGCAAGAAGCGGCTCTGTGCCTGAGTAGAACTTTCCACTCTAAAGCATTGCTAGTTCGGAGTCGTAGAGGAGCCTACGTGGAGGGGGGAGGGTACAGCAGCGAGGGTTCCGCCGCCGTGGAGACCTGCTCTTCCCTCGCTTGGGAGGGACGTGACACAGGCCACAGCCAGCCCAAGCACCTGGGAAACAAGTATGCCCGCTCCCCCCTTCCCCGAGGAGGCCGAAGGATGCCGGGTCCCTGGCCAGCCCCCGTGCAGAAGCAGATTCCACCACCGCGCACTGATCCAAGGCCGTTCCTGCGCCCAGGGATCAATCTCACTGCCCTCCACGGTCCCCGCAGCCTGCTTCACAGCCGCGCAGAGCGCGAAGCCACCGCAGTGTCCACAGACAGATGAACGGATAAACCTGTGGAGCGGATCAGGCCTCCGCCAGTAAAGGGAAGGCGGCTGTGACGCATGCGCCAGCGTGGGGGCGCCTTGCACCAACCTCTCCGAGCCTGGAAAAGTGGTCTGTGATTCCGCTCATGGACGCTTGGAGCCGTCAGACCCGCTGAGACTGAGTAGAATGGGTTCGCTAGCGCCAGGGAGAGCGATGAAGAGTTATTGTTTAGTGGACACTAAGTCTCATTTTTTGTAATTGTTGTGTTTTTTGAGACGGTCTCACTGTGTGGCCCAGGCTGGCCTCGAACTTGCCTCGATCATCCTACCTCAGCCTCCTGAGTGCTGATTGGGATTATGGATGTGTACCACTATCCCGGCATCTGCTTGGGTTTCTGTCACTTGTAACCCAACGAGCCCTGAGTCTCCGCGCCTGCTCTGTGCTCTGTGAGAGAAGCTGAGGACGTGGTGCCGGCCATTCTGAGCCCCGTGCTAGGTTCCCAGCAGGCGCCCTTCACAGCCTCTCTGCTTTTCCTCCTGAGGACGCTGTCACGCACCGACTGACAGGAGCAGCTGCAGTTAGCAGATGGGAGAGGCAGGTCTGCAGCTGCTGAAGCAGAATGACACGCGCACAGAGAAACGTGCGCACAATCTTCCTTTTCCAGTTACCAGCATCGTTAGAATCAGCGGCTGTTTCTTGCATTTTCATCATGGGCCACAAGTTCACACTCTTCAGAACTTTCCTTTTTGTTTTTTTGGTACTGGGGATTGAACTCCTGTCCTTGCGCTTGTGCAGCAGGTGGCAAAACCACTGAGCTAAATCCCCAGCCGTTTTGTTTTTGTTTTTGAGACATGGTCTCCTATATAGCTCAGGCCAGTCTTTAACTCACTATGTAGCCCAGGCTGGCCTCGAACTTTTGGCAATCCTCCTGCCTCAGCCTATAGGCAGGAGCGATTATAGGCACGTGCCACCAGGCCGGGCTGACAGCTTTTCCCTCTACCTCATGAGGAAGTGTGGCCCTTAGTCCGTGTGCACCTTGGGCACACAGTACTGCTGTCACCCGTGAGAAACACAGTATCCCAGGACCCTTGCCAGCCCAGCTCAGTCAGAGTCACATTTTAACCCAGGCCTGGGGGGCTCTGACTCCCCAGAAGACCTGAGATGCACCAGGCTCCGGTAAGCTGCAAGACACCAGTGAAATCTGAGGGTCAGGGAAACTGCAATATCAAAATGTCCCAAACTTGTCTCAAAAAACCACTGATTTACTTGAACCACCAATGGAAGTGGACAGCCTGCACTTCAGAAGTTATGTCTGGCAGCCCTAGCAGAGGACACAGTGATACCCTGCTAACACCCACCCTCTCCTCCTGTGTCCCCAGATTCCTGTGCCTCCTTTAGGCTCCCCTGATGGCTGGGGGCTGGGGTTCAGAAGAGAAGGGAAGAGTTCACCCCCGGCGCAGTCCTGTCCCAGGGTCTCCATCTCTGGGTAGCACGTCGACATGACAGAGAAGGGTTTTCAGTGAAATAAACGGGCCCTGTCTCTCCTTCTGATGGCGGGATATAGAAGGTGAGGGTTCAGCTCGTAGCATTCACTTTGCACCATGAGGGTTAAGAGCCTGAGGACAGAGCCTGTGGCGAAGGAAGCAGGGCAGACAGGAAAGAATGCTATCTGTGAGGAGGTGGATCAGACTGCCCTTACTTAAGCTGTCCTACTCCAGGAGTCCCGCAGGTGGGGACCATCCTCGCTGTTCCCGTTTCTGGTGAGAGGAGCTCGGTTCAGCCGCGCTGTCCTGTCCCCTCTAGCATTGCCTGGTGTCGTGCCACCTCCTGGACTGCCTGTCACAGCAGATTCCAGGGAGCGGGCAGAGCGGAGCCTCGAGGCACGGCCTGAGCTTCCCCCCAGGCTGCCCGTGCCTTTGAGACCTTGCAGTCCTGTGACCTAGGTGTTTGTGTCTCCACACAATCTTCACAAACCTTGAGGAATCCAGCCACACACTGGGAAGAGTCAGGGCTGGAACTCTAGTTCCGTGAGTCAGAAATGCTGTTCAAACGGTTTAAAGTAAAAACGGGAGGGGAGGGTTCCTTGATAACCTGGGTGGACAAAAAAGCAAACAAAGCCAGACAAAAAAAAATTAAACCCAGACACTTTCAGGTATGGTTTGATCCAGGTCTCAAACTGCATCACTTGCCATGCTCTGGCCCTGCTTCCCTCAGTTTGGGTCTAGGGGTGCTCAGGGGAAGATGACGTCCGAGGCCCGACCTGTGTTCACCCAGGTGAAAGTTGGCTGGGAAAGTTGGTCCCTGGCTTCCTCTCCAGGAAAGCCCTGTTTGTCTCACAGAATCTGGTTGGGTGGCCTGAACCACAGCGGCCGGAGAGGGAGATGTTCTGATTGGCTAGTTTGGAGTCACATGGTCTCCGCGGGCGCTGGAAGTGGGCCGGAGCAGGGTTGGGGAAAACCGGTCCCTGGGACAGCGGAGGTCCGGAGAGGAGGGAGAGGAGGGAGCCGAGGGCGGGAGGGCCACAGTGGGACTCCCGGACCGCGAGGCTGCGCTGGCTGTGCACTGTGCTTCCTGCGTCCAACCTGCTGAGGCCGGGGAGAGGCCCCCCAGCAGCGCAGCGGCACGGAGCACCGAAGGCCTCCTCGTCTCTAGAGTTGGTTTTCCTTAAATAGGAAAGCGATCGTGGCCCTTTAGCTCCCTTCCCTTCAGGGAAACCTTCAGCAGTAGCGAAAGGTCACAGAGATGTGCAGAAACACGCGGTGGACCTCGAAGCGTTCCTCTTCCGGTGGGGGCTGCTCCTGTGGAGCCGCTGAGAGCTCCGAGTGAGCGCTTCCGTCCCTGCTTCGCTTCTTTATCTGGAGTGGGTTTTCCTCTGTTATCGCACGGCAGAAAACGGCGGTGCTCGCCGGTTCCACATCGGACCTTGCACCCCACGCCAGCCCTGGGAGAGGTGACCCACTGTTCGTGACGGTCAGGGCCGGCCCGGCTCCCAGACCCCTCTCCGGAGGGCGGTGCCGTCCACGAGGACAAAGCCGCTGTGAGTGCCGCCGAAAGGGGCCTTGACACCACAGCGTAGGCCGCACTGGGAGCAGCCGCTGGGGCTGCTTTTCACAGTTAGGTGACCACTAGCTTCAGGTTTGGTTGGAGCCAAGCGCGATGCTGCACACCTGTACTCTGAGCACTCTGGGAGGCTGAGGGGAAGGGTCACGAGTTCAAGGCCAGCCCGGGAAATTGAGTGACAGCAAGACCCAGTCTCAAAATTTAAAAAAAAAAAGGCTTGGTTGGGATTCTTTCTTGACAAATGAAACTAAGAAATTATTCTTATAAGCAGTGTGATGCTGATCCTGTGGAGTTGTATTTGTGGATCTGCTGCTGTTTGTAACCCAGGGTCAGATTCTCTGCTCTTCTGCAG